GGGTAAGATAGCTCTAGCGACAAACCCTTTTATCTCCCCACGCTTCACAGATGCATCCCTTCTCTAAATACCCCATATCACTTAGAAAGGGCATTTTTTTCTCTATGCAACTCAAGAGCTGTTACTTTACACAAATGTGGAGTCACCTTGGTCACTCACACACACTCCCTCCTTTGATATGCAACACCATGGGAAGCCTCTGCAGTGCTTTGGTCTCTACCATTGCCATTATAAGCACCCTTAAATTGATATACTTCACCCTTCATGGGACATATTTATGAACTACTAACAGATCAATATGAATACACTATTGGCTCGTTTGGATGGGCTAATGAAAAAAGTGTTTTTTATATCTTACTTATTTTAGAAGTGCTTTTTACAAAAGCTAAAGCTATTTAGATATTTTAAAAAATATTTGGCTTTTGAGTTTTAATTTTTTTAGAAGCTAAAATTTTTAGCTTAAAAAAAATCAAGTTTTTGGCTTTTTTTTGTGGCTTATGTTTTTTTTGAAGCAGATATCCAAACGAACTTTGTAGTATAAGTACATTTTTTTCTTTAAAAAAACTAGCTTTAGGCTATAAAAAAACCATCCAAAAGGGCCCCAACGAAAAATACACGTCATTCCCTCCTTTCTATCAAATCTATCATAACCAGTACCCACTACCCACATTCCATGAAATTTATGTGTACCAATCTTGTAAAGAGTATTGAATTCTTCGGTGCATCTAGAATGTTTTCCTTTTTTATTGTTTTTAATCAAAGTGAAGACAGTCAAACTAAAGTGTTAAAATTTTCCAACTATAATAATATTTTTTTGAATAGCAGTTACATCGATAGATCACATGGATCGATGTATCGATTTATGATAAGCATTAAAATGATTCAATCCAGACATTTCTCAAAATTTATATCAATTTTTTAAATAAATAATTCATTAACATTATTTATTCATATTACTAATTAAATTTAGAAAAATATATAATTTTAATAAACAAATATATATATAGGATAATATCCTTTGACACCGGTATCAAATAAAAAGTTGTTTGACATCTCATTTGAGAGCATTTAGATCAATACTAATCAACGGTGTCACATGCTAATTGCTAGATCAAAACAAAATCAACGATTCTCATATGAGGTGTCAAATGATCTTGTTCATATATATATATGTGTGTGTGTATGTGTAAAATTTATATATAATATATAGAGGGAGGGAGAAATCAAATATTTGGGGATTATAAGTATTTCAATATTTTTATTAAGTATTGATAATGAACAACTTAGTCATTAATGTTTATTTTGTTGGTTAGGAATTTTAATTATTATTCATTATCAATTTAGTAATTATTGGCTAATTTATTATTTACTTAACTTTTAGAGTTTTGTTAGTTAATTAGTTACTAATTAATGTTTAAGTTGTTACTTAATAATTTATATTACTTTTTTAATTTATTTATTTTCATATATCAACTGGTGTTTGAATTTCTAATGGACTCAACTAATTTGGTTTCAGATTTGAGTCTCTCTAGTCTTCCAAGGAGTTGCGATTCTCAAGAATTGAACTTACTACCCTTTTAGGCATGTCAAATCTTAGGATCTAATTATAAAGCCACTAGATCAACAACTCCTTGGTATTTTAGTGTTTTTTTATAATTTTATTAAATATTGTTAACTATTGATGACTAAATAATTAACTATTATTCTCAGTAATTGAACTCACTACCCTTTTACTATATAGCGATATGAAATCTCTCATGGGTTATTCGTCGCATTTTCCTCCACATTTTATTAATCATGTTCCTTTGGATCCATCATAGCTGACGTAATGTGAGTGTTTTTTTTATAATTTTATTAAATATTATTAACTATTGTTGAGTAGATAATTAACTATTATTCTTAGGACTTGAATTCACTACATTTTTACTAAATAGGGATATGAAATCTCCCTCGGGTTCTCCGCCGCATTTTACTCCACATTTTATTAATCATGTTCCCTTGGATCCATCATGGCTGACGTAATGTTAGTATTTTTTTAAATAATTTTATTAAGTATTATTAACTATTGTTGAGTAAATAATTAACTATTATTCTCAGGAATTGAATTCACTACCCTTTTACTAAATAGTGATATGAAATCTCCCACGTGTTCTCTGCCGCATTTTACTCCATATTTTATTAATCATGCTCCTTTGGATCCATCATGTCTGACGTAATGTTAGTGTTTTTTTATAATATTATTAACTATTGTTGACTAAATAAGTCGAAGCTCGTGGGGATACCGGAGGGAGCCAACTCGTCTCAAAGAGATAATTAGGGTTGAGTAACTCCAAAAAAAGAAATTGAACTCACTACTCTTTTACTAAATAGTGATATGAAACCTTCCCGGGTTCTCCGCCGCATTTTACTCCATATTTTATTAATCATGTTCCTTTGGATCCATCATGTCTGACGTAATGTTAGTGTTTTTTATAATATTATTAACTATTGTTGACTAAATAATTAACTATTATTCTCAGGAATTGAACTCACTACTCTTTTACTAAATAGTGATATGAAACCTTCCCGGGTTCTCCGCCGCATTTTCCTTCACATTTTATTAATAACATTCCTTTGGATCCATCATGTCTGACGTAATGTTAGTGTTTTTTATAATATTATTAACTGTTGTTGACTAAATAATTAACTATTATTCTCAGGAATTGAACTCACTACTCTTTTACTAAATAGTGATATGAAACCTTCCCGGGTTCTCTGCCGCATTTTCCTCCACATTTTAATAATAACGTTCCTTTGGATCCAACATGTCTGACGTAATGTTAGTGTTTTTTTTATAATATTATTAACTATTGTTGACTAAATAATTAACTATTATTCTCAGGAATTGAACTCACTACTCTTTTACTAAATAGTGATATGAAACCTTCCCTGGTTCTCCGTCGCATTTTCCTCCACATTTTATTAATAACATTCCTTTGGATCCATCATGTATGACGTAATGTTAGTGTTTTTTATAATATTATTAACTATTGTTGACTAAATAATTAACTATTATTTTCAGGAATTGAACTCACTACTCTTTTACCAAATAGTGATATGAAACCTTCTCGGGTTCTCCGCCGCATTTTCCTCCACATTTTATTAATAACGTTCCTTTGGATCCATCATGTCTGACGTAATGTTAGTGTTTTTTTATAATATTATTAACTATTGTTGACTAAATAATTAACTATTATTCTCAGGAATTGAACTCACTACTCTTTTACTAAATAGTGATCGATATGAAACCTTCCCGGGTTCTCCGCCGCATTTTCCTCCACATTTTATTAATAACGTTCCTTTGGATCTATCATGGCTGGTGTAGTATAACGGTCCCTAACACAAAAAAGTATAATATAAATATTAACATTATCAAAAAATGAAATATTTTTCCACCAAAATAAAATAAATTGAATTTTTAAATCAATAATGCACAATTAATCAATATAAGTGTTTAAATAAAATATCGTTGTACCTAGTATGCTTGAGCGTATAAAATAAGAATGAAGGTGTTTGTGATCTTGAAAAAAATAAAAGTCCATACAACTGTGACAACCACCTCATCTAGTAATGACTCACTTATTTACATTCAGCAATAATAATGCCATCACCCCCAACAAGCAACCCTTTATATGATTTGGCCATTTCACGTACAATTTTATTGACCTATTTTCAACCACAAAAGTTGTAAATGTACTTTCTTACAATAATACTTTATTGGCATATGCACAATTTACTTTTTATTGAGTTCTTGCTTAAAAAATAATTCATCTCTTATATACTTAAAAGCCCTTCATGTCCTTATCGATCGGGAATATTCATCTTTTGATTAGGGTAGACCCAATTAATATATGTCTATTGTCTACATTCATTCCAAATTAAATTTACCCTATATATATATACATTTGATATAAGTTGCATTTACAAAATGAACAAATAATGTCAATTAACTCGTGTAATTAATAAACTAAAATTTCACTTCTTGTGGATGTTTACTAGTAACTTCATCAGATGCAATGAAGAAGCGATACAAACAATGGTTATGAAATCGTGGGGAACACGATCAATATCAACATCATTATTAGACGAACTACCATTAAGAATTTGACATTCATCATCGATCATCGTCACCATCTCCCTCACTATCCATATTCCAAGTACTGTGCACCAATCTCATAAGGGGTATTGGAGTCTTCTACGCATCTAACGTTTTCCTTTTTTAGTATTCTTAATTAGGGTGAAGATAATCAAACTAAAACGTTAAATTTTTTGAACTATAATAATATTTTTTTAAATACTGGTTACATCATGTGGTGATCGATATACCGATTTATGACAAGCATTAAAATGATTCAATCCAAAATTTATATCAATTTTTTTGTAATAAATAATTTAATAACATTATTATATATTCATATTATTAATTAAATTTACAAAAAATATATAAATTTAATAAACGAAAAAATTTATATATATATATATATATATATACGAATGTAAGAATAAGAAGTCTTATATCAAACTTTCATCATTGATTTGCTTACATCTAACATTTCATATACATAATAAATCAAAACTGTTAGATATAACTATGATTAACTACTAAGATTGAGAGTGTAAAACTAGTATTTTTATGTACAATTTAAATTAAAAAAAAACTCACCCAATTTCTCTTTCACTCACATTAAAAGTTACTCTCTTTTTTTTTCTCCTCATTTACTTTTCAGAACCTGCCTGCTGACATGGAGAGAGAAAAAAACAACTTTAATATTATAATTATGTTCTCCCCGAAGAACACAGTTATAAATGGATAGATATAGACAAACTTATATAAAGTTGATACAGAAAATATTTTTTCCCTATATAATTTACATAAAATTTATATAAAGAGAGGAAGTGAGCAAGCATTTGCTCTGTTCCAAAGTCATTTGCAGAGCCGTTTTCTTTAGTTGTCACAGTCATTGTCACCTTCGCAAAAAGCAATGGAGTCAGTGTTGAAGTTGCATCATGGTTCCAAACTCTGCAGACCCATTTTCCATTTTCCTTCTCAAGCCACCATTTTTCTCCGCAGCCACCACAACTTTCTTCATTCACCTTTTCCCATAATGAGGTGCCGTCCTCTTCAAGTTCAAGCTTGTACTCCTTCCTCTTCTCCTCCTCCTCCTCCTCCTCTCTTTCCACTGAGGTACATCACACCCTTCCTTTTAATTTCCCTTCAACCCTTCATTTTTTTTCCGACGGTTTCTATTTTGTTTCTGCAAAATCAATGATCATGTAGGCAAAACAATTGTCCATTTTTTTTTTTAATCTATAAATAAATTTAGTTTTATTTGTCATTGATATATATGTGTCAGTTCTTTTATGATGATCCTCCCCTTCCTTGTACCATACACCTCATGATAGTAGTAAATTAATTATTAATGGCTTTTGCAGGCTTTTGTTTAAACTTTTGACAGTTTCTTATTTTGAACAGAAATTCAGGTAAAAAGAGGGTGGATGAGAGTAGGATCTTGACTTTGGAAGAGATCAGACACTCTTTAATCAGGCAGGAGGATAGCATAATATTCAGTCTTTTGGAGAGAGCTCAATACTCTTATAATGCAGGCACATATGATAATGATGCATTCCTCATGGATGAGTTTAAAGGGTCTTTGGTTGAGTACTTGGTCTGGCAAACAGAAAAGCTGCATGCACAGGTTATTACAAATTCCGAGGCTGTGAATTTATGGAATAGTTTAGATTCATGATCTAATAGTTTAGATTCCTTTGAAATTAGGTTGGAAGATACATGAGTCCAGATGAGCATGCTTTCTTCCCTGCATACCTACCTGAGCCAATGCTTCCACCCTTGCAGTATCCGCAGGTTTTGTAATTCTGTTTTCTTTCATGTGACTGGCAAGCATTTAAATTTCCTTCTTCTAGCCTATCTTAATTCTTAAGTTCATTAGAATATTTAATATTTCTCTTATTAAGTCTGAACGCCTTCTTCTTGCTTCATTAACTCAATTGATTAGCTTCAAATGTTAAAAAAAGAAAAAACGTTTCTGATTTCAGTTTTTGCATTGTATTGCTGATTGGATTTTGACTAATCCGGCTTCCATTTTCCCTTGGATATGTAACTAGGTTCTGCATCACTCTGCCGATTCAATCAATATAAACAATAAGATTTGGAATATGTATTTTAAGGATCTCCTCCCAAGATTGGTAAAAGAAGGAGATGATGGAAACCTTGGATCAGCAGCAGTTTGTGACACTCTTTGCTTGCAGGTACAAATTAAGCTTCTTGTGTGTTATCGAACATTGTTATCTTTTTTCAACAATACTATTAAAAATCTAAGTGTGATGTGTTACAATAAATTTCATTTAACAGGCTCTAGATGGTGTGGATACAAAATGATGACCTTATTTCTACAGTTATATTAAAACTTTGACTACTAGAGGACTATTTATACCTTTTACTTTGCGTGCACTACATGTCTATCAGCAACTTCTTACTTAACCAATAAGACTATCCTAATTATATAGTACTATTTAGTATTTCTCAACACTCCCCTGTCTTCTGCTCAGAGTGTAAGAGCATAAAGTGAATGGTCCTTTCTTGTATGATAAACACTCAATAATTGATTCAATTCTCATTCTTGACTCTCAGGATATTTGATATCTCATAATCACGTGACAGTTGTTTAGTCCAAATACCATATATGTTTTTGTTATAACACTTGAAACACTGTTGCAGGCTCTCTCAAAGAGAATCCACTATGGCAAATTTGTTGCTGAGGCAAAGTTTCGAGAAGCTCCTTCTGTATATGAGGCTGCCATTAAAGAGAAAGTAAACTCTTGCATGACTTATATTGTTTTCCCTTGTGATTCTAAGGTATATGGTCAATGTTACTTGATTTTCTGACACTTCAACATTCTGGACCTCACAGGACAGGAAACGATTGCTGGAGCTGTTGACATATGAAAGAGTGGAGGCATCAGTCAAGAAGAGAGTAGAAATGAAAGCAAGAGCATATGGCCAGGTGATAAAGATCAATGAGACTGATGATGTAGCTGATCCTGTATACAAAATCAAGCCAAGCTTGATTGCAAATCTGTATGAAGATTGGATTATGCCTCTCACTAAAGAAGTGCAAGTAGAATACTTGCTGAGAAGGCTTGATTAAGCAGAGAATACTTGTTACAAACCAGTTCCCAGGAACTGGAAGTGTAGTTCTTCTTCTCAAGTGGAGGACAATAATCTGGGATGTTTATCCGTGTATTTTCTAGACTATCCTTATGGCATAGTTTATATATTAATAGTAATATATTTGGGATTTATTTAGATAATTTTTGTTTATGTTGTTTTGGGAATAATTATGTTATTTTTAAAGATTTTGATAACTTTGCTTATTTTCAGGAATATTACCTTGTTCATAGGGATTTTATCTCGATCAATTACTGTTTGGTATATATATATTTATGAAATTTATTTCAAGAGCTAATATGTGTAAAGTCATTTTTTAGAAGGGAAAATGCATGAAAACATATCTCATTAAATACTGAAGTTACTTTATTGGGGTGGGGTAAGAATAGAAGGTGCTGGTGCAATTGTCTTATATCGAATGGTGAGTTATATAAGGTGAAACATTCAACGAATGTTTATTAATTAATAATTTAATCTTATTTTTAAGTTTATTATTATAGTGACCAATATAAAATTGAGAAAGGGTAAGTAGTTTGGCCCAATAAAGATAGTCCAAGTTTTCTTTAATAATATCTTTGTGTTTGATTTACTGTTGGTTGTTGGCATCGTTCCCTACATTCGGAGGGCGGAACTCCAAAAATGAAGGCATGCTACCAGGTTTCTTAGATATTGGTGGTGTCAGTCAGCAAACAGTGACATGACTGATACGCATGTTTTAAGCAATGTGGGTTGGAACTTGAAACTATGCTAGGCAATAATTTTTTTAATTTTTTTAGTTTTTTTGGGTAGAAAAGGAATAATGTTTTAATCATGTGAAAAAGAAAAAAGCTTTAAATGAGTGATATATTGTTCTCTAGCAAAAAGCCAAAGAAGTCAGCAAACACAGCTTGAGAAAACAATGGGAACGTGGTGGGATCTGTGGGTTATCACCATTTTCTTCTCTATAATTGAAAGCTTCGATCGGAATGAAAATAAAATCATTTATTTATGACAGTGCTATGGTCTTCATTGTTTGTCTTTTGAGCTGGAAAATACAATTTTCTGACCCCACCATGTGTATCGGCACATTTTTATTATCTCACATTAGCTTCAATATTAGGTTACTTTTTTGTTTTTTTTAAATAATTCAAAAATAAGATTTTTTTTAGCAATAGGATTATTGTAAAGACACTACATCATTTCCTAAAGAAAACTATAACTGCATTTTCATATTTTCCACTTAAAGGAGAGAATCTTGATCAAAGACATTTAATCATAAGTATTATACTTTCTGCACTCTTATTAACTTGAATGTTGGAGTAACTTACAAGTTAAGAATTCCCTTCCCCAACTGCCACCGTCAACACTTGTAAAAAAGTTTCATAACACACACACACCAACACCATTCAAAGCCAACCAGCATCCATCTTCTATTCACCTTGGTATTTCGGAGGTGAAAAGAGAAATTCAAAACAAGATCTTCTTTTGTGAAAACTTTTGAGAAAGAAGTAGCACGTCATAAAAGTTTGAAGGGAATATTTTTTTTATCCTAATTTAACTCGTACCCACCCAATCATCCATAGCAAACTCCTTTTCCTTAGATAGAGAGAGGATCTTTTAATTTCGGTACAAGATTAAAAACAAAAAAATATATATTTCTTTTAAGGGTTTGATATTTGTCATTTTAAATAAAAAAATGAAAATCATGGAGAAAGAAAGTGGGTGATTTTTTTTTAATTTAAATTTTAAATAAAAAAATTATTTTGTGTTTATCTCTCTTAAAATAACATAATTTTATGTCATTTAAAATGATAAATATTTTTCTTTTCTTCTAATATCTTATAGAAAAAAGAATCAGCAAATAAATAACAATATATAATTAACTCATAAATGTACTTGATAAGTTTCAACAAGTTGGGTAATAATAATTGAAGGGAAATACTTTTCTTATGTTATAAGAAAGTTATTATCTCATGTTGTAGAAATAAAATTATATGTGAAACCCACAAGTAAGAGGAGAGAAAAAAAAAGTGATGGGACCACCCTTTTTTTGTGTGTGTAAAAAAATTATCTATCTAATGTAAAATGAGATAAATATAACCCATAATTTAATCTCCGTTCACGTATAAGTTAACCAAAAATTATTTAAAAAAACAACTTTACAATCTTTTGTTTTTGACAAAGAAAAAACCATGATCGTCCATTCATTCTACCTAGGCTTCCTCAACAAATTTCAACGACAAAAAAGGACCTTCTACCCTCCATTTTTTTTAAAAAAAAGAATTAAAAATGTATTTTTGTACTTCACCGAGAAAGGTGTGAGTGAAACGCTCCTTTATACAGTGTGAATCACCGTACTTTGTCTGTTTCCCGTTGCCAGCTTGACATTTGATGCAAAGGTGAAGCCTTTATCATCACTTTCACTTACCCACATAACAGTATCACTCCCTTTCCCTTCCCCTTTTCTTTCGTGTGTGTTGTTGTGTGCTTCCATAGATTCTTATCTCATTGCATTGCAGCACCTCCCAAAAGGGAAGGGAAGGGAAGGGAAGGGACACAACAAAATGGAGAAAGCTCTCACAAAAGTTAGCAGCTTGAAGGTGGGATTGGGGGGTTCATGGATTACCAAAAAGGCCAAGGAGGAGTTTTCTAATATCTCTGAAGACATCTCTGTGAGTATTTGCTTTCTGGGTTTGTATTGCATTGCTTGTTCTTCTTCTTCATTGTGGCTTACTGGGTTGTGAGTGAAATCCTTTGCTTCTAATCATTTGTAATCATGGTAAGTAAGTTACCATTTGGAGTTTGAGAGATCTGAAAGAGGGCTTTATTTGGAACCACCATGAACTGGGTTGTTTGCTTCTTCTTTTTCTGATAACAAGGCCCTAAATTTGAATAGAAGCTTATTTTTGTGAAAAGCTTGTTTCAGTGATTGTCATGGATATCTTGCATATTGATGTTTCTTCATTTTAGGGTGATTTATTTCCCATGAATGAGTGATGCAATTGGCAAGACTTTGACTTTCCTTGTTTCTAGCTTAAAAATCGTGTCTTGGGTCGTCTGTGTAGAATGGGGCATGCTTTTCATTTTTACTTCATCTTGAGAAATTTTCTGGGATTTGGGTCATGACTGTCATCAGATTTATGCATTTTCTTGTACTCTTTGGTCGAAGGAGAGGGAAGGGGGTAACATTTGAAAGGATATAAGTTAGACATGGGGAATGAAGGAGAATGATTGTCAGTTGCCTCTTTCTTAGAGCGTTTTAGTTTTCATCCTGATTCTTCCAGATAATGAAAAGACATAGTTTGTTAAATCGGAGGAACAACAAATTTTACACAATGCAGAACATTTATTTGGTCCAGGAAAGTGCCTTCACTAGAATTTTTAAAATTGGTACTTATTTACTGCTTGAAGTCTTGCTGACGGATAACAACATGACATATGTAGCTTTGTCATTAATTGTGCACGTATTTGAATGATGTGTAAGGCTAATCTTTGAATTTTACATCAATCAAGAAGATGCATTGATGAAAAGGATAAACATGAATTATGTTGTGGAGAGTTATTTACATTCAATACCAAGTTGGGCATCAGCTTCAGATCAGTAAGATTTTGCAAATTGCTTTTGTCAAAGCATAAAGCTGGATATAAGTTTAGTACGACTAGAAAAAACTATATTCAATTGAGCAACCCTGTTTGGTGTTTAGCTTTGAGATTTACTGTGGAGTTTGATGCTACTGCCTTGTTTTTGCTGAAAAAAGGGTGATATTTTGCAGACTTTCTCAAATACCGTTGAAGAAAAGGCAAAATGGATTTTCAACAAACTAAAAGGTATGAATGCGTTTTGAGTCTTTGACCCTTAACGTTAAAGTGAGTTTATGCATGCTTACAAAATGGACTTTCAACACCAGATGCTTATTTGGGACCTGGAATTGCTTTCATAGTTTTAACAGACTGTTACATAGCATCATGATAAACTACGAGCAAAATGCACAACATTGAATCAATCAGTTAGCATAATGGCAATCTACTTATTGTGTTCATCGCATTTTAGCTAACTGGCCATAATAAGTTTTCCATGTGGCACCTCCTTCACATTTTGCCCTTTTACTGACACACTTTCTCCTGTATCCTGAGATCATAATACTGGTGAGAAAATCTCACTCTTAAGTTAAAGTTTTCTTTTTGTCATGCACCCTCTGAGTTTCCTCTTCTCTAACCTGCGTTTTTCTTCATGTTTTATGTTTCATACTATAATATTCATTGTGTTAACTGAGTTTTTTTTTTTTTTAAATTTAAATATCCTAAATTTCTAATGCTCATTCTACAATTCAATGAGTTAAATGGATGTGGCAAGTTGTTGGTACAGTCAACATGAAAATAACAACTCAAGACGTTTATTATTTCAATGATGTAAATTTTGTCAACAACTAGTGATATCCATACAAGTTTTAACATTGTGGACTCATCCATATTCTAATTTTCACTGTTAGGTACGCTGTTGTAGTAGCTATCTTTTATGGCATTAGTCTAACATCTATTTAGGTATGCTGACCAATTTATAAACCACCACATCAACTAATAATCACACTGTTTCATTCCCCTCCCTCTTTTCTTCTTTTCTTTCAATGCTTTTCCCTCAGGCAAGCCACTGAAAAGCCTACCAGATCTCCTCCGAGAGTACAATTTACCACCAGGGTTGTTTCCCCAGAATATAATCTGTCATGAGTTTGATGAAACCAAGGGAAAGCTGATTGTCTACTTGCCATCTGCATGTGAGGTCAGCTTCAAGGACTCCTCTGTGATGAGGTATGCAACCCGAGTCAAAGGGGTTCTTACAAGGGGAAAACTTTCAGCAATAGATGGAATGAAAACAAAGGTTCTTGTATGGGTTAAGGTGACAACTGTGGCAGTTGAGGGTTACAAATCTGATAAGTTATGGGTTACTGCTGGTGTAAAGAAGTCAAGGCCAAAGGATGCTTACGATACACCTAGGGATGCTGTTAGAGTATCAGAATTCTGAGTTTACAATATTGGTTATTATTCTCATTACCATTACTATGGAATAGGTAGTCTAGATTTTTGGAATTGTTTACACAGAGGTAATGGAGTTTGCATCCTCCTCTTTATATTATCTAGAAATACTGGATGTAATGCGCTTCTGGCCATTCGTTGTTGTCTCATTGAACGCAAGTTATTTTGCCAAGCTCAAACGGGAACTCTAAACACAAGTTGAAGCTATGTTTCTTTGTTTCCCATTTCTTTTACATATTAAGGCTCTGTTTGATTATTGTTTTTAAAAACAGTTTTTTAGTTTTCAGAATAAAAAAACTAAAAAACTCGTTTGGTAGCACATGTTTTGTAAAAAATGTTTTGAAAACTATAATTGTTTTTTTGTTTTTAGAATCAAATTTAGAAAACATGTCTGAATTGTTTTTGTTTTCTGTTTTGGTTTTTAACTTTCAAAAAGAAAAAAATATAGAAAACAACTGTTTCTATAACTATTTTTCAAAACAGTTTTAAGAACAAAAAAATCAGAACACAATCAAACAGGCTTTAAAGTTTCTTTTGAATTCAGAGGCACTGTTTGTGTTTGATGAACAGGGGATTAAGAATTGAGGTTTAGTTTTACTCAGATGTCATCGGATGTGCAGTAGTAAAAGTTGGCTGCCGCATATAGCAAACTAACAATTGTTAAATGATAAAACTTTCAGATGCACATACTGCATGGATATGACTCAAATAGAGGGTTGATATGGAGAAACAAAGCAAAATTCTAAGTTCCTGATATTTTATAATAGGGTTTTATTATTCTCCTTCAACATAAGATAAGTATCTTATGTTGTAGAGATAAAATAGGTGGGTCCCACCATTACAAGAAAAAAGAAAAAAAAGAAAAAAGTGAGGTGCGGAAATCGAAGTGAGAGAGTAGGAGAGAAGTAATCTTATGTAAAAGGAGAGTAATATTTCCCTTTATAATAACAAACTTGGTTTTACTTTACCATCATAGGTGTAAAAGTTTAGTACTATGAACCAAAGTTTGGGTTCCAACAGTGCTGAAACTAGATGCTCCTGTATCCAAAATATAACTTATTTTTTTTATTTGGATTATTAGACATATGGCTCGTATAGAAGTTTCCAGATTTCGAATAAATTTCATAGAGCTCAATCAATATGTGGATTTTATTGATACAAAGGCCAAAATTTTGATTAAAAGAGCAAATTCCAATGCACAAGACTACTCGGCTTGCAAGTGCAGGAATGAGGGGAAAAATTTTGATTAGATAAAAAAATTTAAAAATTGTTGCTACAACAAATTAATCTAGCTTCAACCTCTCTTTCTACTTATAAAGAAACTGTATTTGAAGCTCGAAGAATTTCATAAAAGGATATAACATTTTCAATAGTCAATAGGCCAATAATGCACCACTCCAAAAAATCTGACTTCCTGTTCTGGAGAACTTCTTGGAGAAAATGAATATTGTGCTGCAAACAACCAAATCGACATAATAAGCCTTAATTAAACAACATTATCCAGAATAAAATAGTTCTTTTTTTTTTTCAATTTTTGTATTGCCAAATTATAAATAGTTGTCCAAGGATGTTCTTCTTTACATTTTCTCCTGTCCCTATAATAGTTGTTGCTTATTAAATACATGACAAAACTAAGTACTTAATACAGCAGTATCATTTGAAGATAAAAACCAAACTCAAATACACAACGAAGATAAATATGTAATAAAAAAATGATGCGCATCTAGCTGAAGAATTGTGCACAATATTTAAGCATATTATTGGGTTCAGATGGGTTCGGATTCAAACAAGTTTTTCAAATGCAATATTTAGATGAAATCACTGAGACTTAGAGGGGAAAACTGGGTATATAAAGGGCAGAAATACCTCTACGAATTTCAATTTGAAATCCAGGTTTCCAAAGCGTTGTGCAACTTCATACTCCTCCCTGAGATACTCATGTATTTCAGCATACTTTGCATCCCTCCAAGCAATTTCTGATCTGATTAATCAACAATAAATCATTAATGACAACACTGACAAGAAGTTCATAAACTGGATTTGCTTACTATTGTTTTGTATGAAATGAGTCTAAAAAACAAAAAATTGAAATATTTAGGGATACTATAGTCCTAAAATTTCAACATAGCAGATGCATGTTTTTCTAATGCCTAAAACAGGGGTGATAATACCTCTCAAAGAGACCAACTTTAAGGATCACATCAGCCAAATTTGAGTTAGCCTTCCCAACAAGCTGAAGCAGCTTCTTCTTATCCATAGTGAAAGTTCCAGTTTTCTCCATTCCACGATTTATGCCTGCAAACTCTTCAACTAAACCATCAACCTGATAATAAGAGAAAACGAATGTCAAATTTCCAATGGCTTGATTTTAAGGGTAGTCTTTTTTCTTTCGGATAACAAATGGCCACCAAAGATTGGAAATAAGATGCCATTTGACACATTTCAACCTGTGAGACAAAATAATCCAGAGCTATGCTTTGTCCCAGTACACTTCCAATTATACGGATACCATCAGTGTCCAAAGATTTCAGAACTATGTAGTCCGGACCTCCTTGCATGTCCTCAACTAATAGTGGCTTCTCCTTTATTGCATAATCTAATCACATAGAACATGTCAAAGATGCGCAATATGATTAAGAACTATATGATTAATTAGTTTCTCTGAAGAAATTTACCGTCTTTCCTCATCTCTGGTAGTAAACCAGATGCATGCCTCTTAACTAGTTCCAGGTAACTTTCCACTTCATTATCCTCAATATTAAACAAAACAGCAGATCCATACTGGTATACAACCATGTAACGACAGCTGCTTGCTTTCACATGATACCCAGGTCCCTGAATCAAATACCTCAAGTTGTTTAATGTTCGTTAAAACCAATCATATTGTTATATTGTACAAGTTATCTATTTCAACGGATTTTGTAACAATGCAACACAAGAATCCTGCTTTTAACCAAGGAGTGTTATTTTCCCTTTTGATACATAAGATTGTATTCCTTTACTTATTATCAATAATAAAAGCATTGCCATCTAGGATGCAGCTCAGTAACTACCCTTCTACTCCAAAACAAAAAAGAGAAATTAGAAAATAACAGAATATTGAACCTGAACTTCCTCTTATCTTACACTTGACCTTCAAATGCGCATACAAATTCAGTGATACCAGCCTATTAAAAATCCGCCATCATAACCCCAATCCAGTGTTGGAAAGTGCGCATGGTGGTATGAGGTGTTGTATTCTAATAAACCGGATATTGCAGAAAACGATGGACAGAGTAGGGATACTTAAGAACTACTATGAGGGTTGTGACTTCCTATATACAAAAACAAAAGGTTCTTGGGGGGAAAAAAAATCTTACAATAGTGTCTGAATTCAAGTCACAGAACCGGAGAGCAACATAGTTTGATGATGAGCGGGAAGATGGAGGAACAATGTTTCTCAGATTGTCAGCCTGAATGCCCTTCAAATTTATACTGCCAAAATTATGAATCTGAGACAGCCAAATCATAGAGAACGAGAACAGGACAACAAAAAGACATGTAAGAGGAAAGGGGTTCAATTCAATTCAAACCCAAAAAGCATGGAAAACATAATGCAACATTATAAAAGGAACACAAAAGGCAAGAAGACTTCAAAACCTATAAATTATACACAAGCATTAAAGTTACCACTTTTATACACTGAAATGAATAAAAAATACTCCAAATTCCAAATCTAATATCATAAACGCAACAAAATTACAAGTCATAAGTAACAATCCTAAAGCATAGGACAAAGAGAAACACAAAAGCCATGAAAACTTTCAAAAATCTAAAAACCATGCATACAAATAATAAAGCTGCAAATTTTACGCATCAAAATGAAAATTAATAACAATAATAATAATAACTCCAAATTCCAAATCTAAGATTAAAATAAATGTACAAATTTTCATTCTCTCATAACATTGTCTTGTATAGAACAGTAACTGAAGTGACAAGTAACAGCAGAGAGAAAAGATTCTAAGAACGACCCATTTGTGCAATACACGTGATAATCAAAGTGAAAACAGAAATTCAGTAACTTGAATCAGTTGTTGGCGGGGTACCTGGTGGAAAGGAAGTAGGCTTTGACGGGGATTTTCACGCTCGGGTCTTGTTCCGGGGCTCCGGACCCATGAGGGAGATCCAGATTATGGTAATCCGGGTCGAGATTGCACGGGATTGCAGAAGATGCAGCAGCGAAAGAGAGAAAATGGTTGATGGAGAAAAGTGAAGGAAAGTGGGATTTGATGATGGGTTTGGAAGAATAAGAAGAAGATGAAGAAGAAGCTATGCTGTTATAGAAAAGGGACACGGTTCTCCATCTTCCACCCATTCGCTGAGTGAGAAGAAGAGGATTTTCTTCTTCTTCTGATTGTGTTAATTGCTATTGCTTTGAGTTGTGTTTGTGTTTCTCAGTCCATTTCTATGTTTCTCTCTCCTCCTTCATTTTGCTTTTCTTTTCGTAACATACGACATATATGTCAGGATTAAAGTATTTATAATCCTAACTAATTGAAAATTAACATATTATTGATTAATTTGCTTGTTTTTTTAACGTTATTGAACAATTATGTAATTATTTATTGGGTTTTATAATTCTCATGTCCAAGGAGAATAGAAATCTCATGTTATAGAGATAAAAAACATGTGGGACCCATGTGTTAAAAAAAATTATATGTAAGACCTAGGGCCGGCAAAATGGGCTGAGCCCGCCGGGCTGGCCCGCCCCGCCTGTCAAATGGGGCGGGCTGGGTTGAGTTTTTCAACCCACCAGCCCGCCAAACCCGCCAGCCCATATGGGTCAGCCCGCCAAGTCCTTTTTTTTTTTTTTTTTAGGTTACCCAATTGTTATGTAGCTCCGTATCTTAGATTTCTCTGCATGTAAGTGGCTTTTTTGAATTGTTGTGGACTGCTCATACAACACTTTGTTACTTGTTTTATTACTCTATTTTATCCTGATATGATTTTATTTTTTTATTATTATTTTTGGATTGAAAGATGCATATTTATATGCAGATTATTAAACACTGATATTCTTGGTTTTATAAGCATATTAGGATTTTATGCAGATTTTTGTATGCTTTTATGCAGATTTTTTTATGTGATTTTATGCAGAATTTAATTTTTTTATTTTATTTTTTTATTTTAGGCGGGCTGGCCCGTAGCCCGCCAGCCCACTCATAAAACGGGCCGGGTTACTCAATTCAACCCATTTTGTCAAAACGGGCCGGGGCGGGCCAGCCCATTTTGGGCGGGCTAGTGGCGGGCCGGAGCGGGCTGGCCCATATTGCCAGCCCTAGTAAGACCCAGCACAGAAATCGAATAGTGTATAGGAAAATTGTAATTCTCATGTTAAATGAGAATTATAAAACCCTTATTTATTCTCAAAACATTAATATTTTCATTAAAAAAAATTATTGATTTTTTTTTTATATACATGTGACACATTACTCAAGCTTACGTAAAGAAGTATCCAAAAGAAATTATAATTTACTTATTTGGAAGGAATTTACATTCTTGCAGCTGCTGTACGTGCAGCAATCAAATATTTGCCATTTACATACTTGAAAGCATTAAATGCGAGAAATCATAACCATATAAAGGATGAAAATATTAAATGTGGGGAATCATAACCATATACCTATTGTTGTTGTACGTAAAGCGGCTGCAGAAATGATTTTACCAATTTTAAATTTGGAAATGTATCTTTTTATATGTAACTTTATGGGTTCGCTTTTTCATCAGTTACTGCATATAAGTTATCTGCATTAAGTTCAATATGACGTCGATTTGGGTGAAAATCATGATGTTATTGTAATTTTAATTTTTTTTCAGGGTTAATATAGTCTTTATAATTATAATTTTCTAATCTTTCAATTTTAAAATGACACCATTTTGAAAATAAATACAGATAACTTATCTGCATTAACTGCAGAAATATTTTTTCGTTTAAGACTACTTCATATAAAAGGTTCTTAATCGTTGATAATAGTTATTTATTTCATTTTTTATTTTAATATTTTGTTTCTTTCATCTCTTATCACTTTAATTTTAGATTTTCAATAACTTACTTTTTATAGTATTTTGTATATAATTGTGTTTGTTTAAATTTTAAATATTTAGTAACTCGTAATATTTTTGAAAAAATTATAGCTAAGTTTCGCCCAACATTATTTTATTTTTTTGTCGAAACTTCGCTATAACTTTTTTAAAAAACAATTATGAATTACTAAATATTTCTTGATATTATTATTAGGAAGTGCTCAATTTATTTTCCCATCTTCAAACTATAATAAAAAGTTTGAATCTATAACAAGGAAAAAAATTGTTATTGCAATAAAAATTTGTTAATATTTGTAGTACACAATAGAAGTTCTCTACGGTTTAAAAAAAAATGGCTTACCAAAAAAAAAATTGTAAGGAATTTCACCCTTAAAATAATCTTTTTACATAAAATATTAAAAGGGGAAAAAAATAATATTACTTTAGACAACTTTATCTAATGTTCACCGAAACGACGTTGTTTTGAGGTTAAAAAATTAAAAAATTAGAATGATAAAGACAATTATAACCCTGAAATGAATTAAAATTACAAACAACCATGATTTTTGTCTTAAAATGACATCATTTTAATGAACATTACACAAAATTATCTAAAGTAACTTAAAAAAAACGAAACCATATTAAAAATATATGTATAGTTATGTTACCACTGAATCTGAACTGCACCAGTTGTAGTTTTTTATTTTTATTTTTCTGAGTCCCCGGAAAAGAAAGATAAATAAAGGCATAATAAGGGAACACTCATTAATGATAGCATATGCCAGGAGGATACTTCAACCCAAATTGCTTTGTTTTGTCTTAAAGGAGCAATATACTGTTAATTATCTGTATCCAAATTGCTTTTTCTAGTCTATTTTTGTTGTATATAGTTCTTTGCGAATTAAATAAGTGATACTTTCAACTTATGTTTTATATTAATGTTACAATATTAAACTTCAGCTTTCATTATCATTTCAAGTTCAAATAATTGACACTTGGAATATTAATAACATTGCTGAATTATGGGCCCGGGTTTCATTGGAGCTGAGTAGGTGAATGTGTCCTCCCCAATATCATGGAGTTTGAAATCTTAATCATGAATCTGTTCCGAACGGGATTATTTCACGTGAAAAATATTTGTGGTTTATTAAAAAAAAAAACACAATTCTTTAAGGCAGCATAAGCAACCTGGAGAAAGTGTGCAAAACAGTCCAATTTGGTTGTTGATCACCTTAGCAACGAATTCCCAGGATACACTCATTTCTACGCTTTAGAGTTGGCAAAATGGGCCGAGCCCGCCCCGCCCGCCAAACGAGACGGGGCGGGCTGAGTTTTCTAAACTCGCTGCCCGCCAAGCTTGCCCGGGTTGATTTTTTTTTTTTTAATTTTTAGTGTAAAATGTGACGGGCTTGGCGGGCAGCCCGCCCCACCTGCCCAAACAGGACGGGGCGGGCTTAGATATCTAACCCACCTTCAATGGCAGGGCGGGCCAGTCTGCTTTTTAACAAGCTTTTGGCGGGGCGGGCAGCCCACTTTGCCACTTCTACTACGCTTGGATTATATTTGGAAAAACCATTTCAACATTACCCCATAAATACGTTCTTTTTTTTTTTCATAACTCATCGTATTTAGCCACTAATGGGCTGGATTAATCAGAATTTTATTCGAACAAGCTTACAAAGGCTGTAAAGCTCATATCCAGAACTCAAATTCAAAATTATTGGTTAAGGTGAAACAATTCTCAGTTGATCTATGTGCTTAGTGATGTCATATATACATCTTTGAATGGTATCCATAATTTAATGATTGATTGATGGGTGATTTCGTTGTTGTACAGAAAGCTGATGAAAGAAAATTTAGAACATTTACTTCCAAGTATAATAACCTTACATAGAGGTCCTCTCCCCTCTATAGACTTACCCTTGTTTAACTCTCCCCTCTATAGACTTACCCTTGTTTAAAGAAAGGGTTTTATAAGAGTTATGTTGTAAAAAAAATAATTGTGTAATGTTATAGAGATTCGTTTTACGTGCCATAATTTCTTTTATTTTTTTTTTCTTCTAAAAGTGTGGACCCCACAAAATGTTGTGTGTGTAGGAAAGTTTATTGTGTCATGTTAAATGACAAATGCAAACCCCTTACAGAAAAGTAATTATTGAAACTTATTCATTGATTATAAAAGTTAAGATGAGTTACCAAATGAATAGAAGTTGGTATTTTCAAGGAGCCAGCGTTAAAAAAAGAAAGAAAATTTGGAATGAATTAATAATAAATTTCATACTACCACACACCCTCTTCACATTTGTTTGCCACTACAACCTTATTTCCACCGTAACCAAATGAATAGAAGTTTGTATATTTAAGGAGCTAGAAAAAAACAAAAAATAAAAATCGGAATCAATTAATAAAGAAAGTCATGTCATCATTTGATAATAAGAGCCCAAACTAATACACCACTCTTCACTTGCAATCAACCCATTAGGTAACAACTTATTCCCAACGTGACATTTTTTAAATGATCAAGATTGTGCACATCAATCACATAATTTGTTCCAGCATCTTTCTCCTATAGCAAAACCACAAATGTCTGCATAATTTACTTATGGTTCTGTTCAGAATTTAATTAAGCTGTACAAAATATCACATTTGATTTAATATGCTTGCTACCTAAGATCACTTTACATATCCTAAATCTAACAAACAGTTTATAAAAGCAGGCCGGAACAGCTTCACTAAAAGAATAGAGTATATAAGACTTGTACAAATGAAAAATATAAATAACAAGGAAAAAGATTAACTTTCTCTTAGATATCTTGTCGAGACAAAGAAAAATATAACCGGACAATTAAATTCCTATTAACGAAGCACTTCTCAATTCTTTTTTCCATGTAACTCGAATTAAACAGCGAAGGTGATGAAAATCCCTCATGCACTTAGCTTTTGGTTGTAGGCTTGTAGAGAGTCTCGCCCTGCAGATGCATTGATATTTATTTATTTTTAGTAAATCAGAAGCATTGGTGGTATTTGGTAGCATATAAGAAACTATGCACTTCATGAGTTGGAAGTGGCATAAGAAGACATTGAAAACAAGTAATATGTAATGAAATCACAAGGGACTATGAACTAAGAATAGGCAATCAAAGCAAGAAGGGTTAAAATCATACACGCCTGACTAACTTTGTCAATGGATACTCTTCAGCAGCTTTTCAACCATTATTCTCTGCTGAGCACCACTCAATGTCTCTGAGTTCATAATTGCATTAGCTAGGATGATAGTTGAAGATGGAGATGACGCATTGACCTAGACGAAACAACAATTTGAAAAGGAAAGCTGAAATTAGTAGAATGAAAATTTCCCAAGCCAAGACAAAAATGATGGTCAAGCATATATGCTTCAAATGAGACAAGAAACAAAGAAAACATAATATGGCACACTGGAAAGAGAATGCCTGCATACCCAAACACGACCATTTAAGCCAACTGCTATCTCAAAGGACAGTTTCTTCCCGAAAGCATCAAGTACTGGACATGTGGGTGAGCTGAGAAGCCTACAAACAACACACAATCTCTCAAGTCAAGATCTGATAACATTATGCATGGACAGCAAAAGTTAAATTCCATACATCCTTGAGAGACCAGTTGTACACTCAAACATATAGCCATCTTTTAGAGCACCAAATTCTGCTGCTTTCCCACTAGCTAAACAAACACAAAACAAAATAAAAGTCAGTTAAGTCTGCAAAAATGAAACAGGAAGCAAATTAAATTTAACCAACAAGAAAAATCCATAATTAAGAGGCACCGACAAAAAAAACTTTGAATTCACAGAATAGGACACCTACCATCAGTGCATGACAGCTCAGGATTCATTCCAGGGTTTGCTTTTACAACCCGCACATAAAGCAAAGTACCTACCTGCAAGGTGAAGCATTAGGCAAAAGAAAACAACCTAGAGAAACATGATAGACCAGATAGACTAAACATCATTTAACACCAAGAGAGGAATGACAAGCAAATGCTAGTCTGCCAGCCAAATCGAAAGAGGGAGAAAGGGAACAGATTCGCATCTGTGCGCACACACGTAAGCTAAAGATAGTTTAGCATACAAACATAATTTATGCACACCTCAAACTTGGGTATATTTCTTCTAGTTCCTCCTTCGAATGCAAGCACTGGCAAAAATGCTATAGCTGGTCCTTTTATGTCCACAAGAAAGTTCTGTACAGTGATAAATTTAAATTTTTAATAAAACCATAGAAGAAACTCAAAGCTAAGTAAGGATCAAATATTTTCAAGTAAATAAAAAAGTACAAGAGTTGACATAGAACCAAGCATTTCATTTATTTTAAATATCTCAAATTTACATTAACCACCCTCAATTACCATAATTTGCTTGTATCTTGCAGGTCAAAACCAATAGTTTTGAGGAAGGGTGATACCACCATGCCATTGTTAATTATCTCTTCTTAGTCCTCACTAAGGACTTAAGAGAGTTAATAAATGCTGATGTAAAACAATACGCCTAAAGTACTCCTCTAGGACAGAGTATTCCTCTTACTAGGGTTTCCAATACTCTTTGAGGAAAATGAAATCTCCATTTTGTATAATTATGCGGAAATGTATCAAATGTTTACAACGATGGTCTATTTATAGACCCAGAAAAAACCAAAAACCCTACTAAGATAATCCTATTCTATAACAAAATAAGATAATCTAACATAGGATAAAATCCGTAAATAACAAATAATCAAAAGTCAAAATCTCTAATTTCAAAACTAAAATCCTGAAACTACTTGCTCATTTTACATCAAATATTTAATAGAGCCTACATAAAACTTGCAGTCAACAAGAAACTGGAGCAGAACTGAAAGCTTAAACAACAAAAATAGAGAATCTCCTTACATCTGATCTGGAGTCTACAACTATTCCAAGTACGGAATCCTCTGCATGGGGCACATACTGCACAAAACAACATAATCGGAATTTTGAAGAAAAAAAGATAGCATTTTTTGTTCTGAGGGGAAATTGTGTAATATAATTGAATGCTGAAAAAAAATTAAAATTCATATGCATTAGGAGATAGAGATAGTTTTCTGGTAGAATGCAAACTGCTATTCATCTTAAAAGCAAGAACTTAATCCCCATATATTGACATACTAACATGTACAAAGTGCGTTAATGAGTGAGAATTAAAAAGAAAAAAAGAACATTCCGCTTTAACCTGATTTTGCAGCTGCCAGTGAAAACTTAGCTCATTCAAGAGGGCATAAAAGAGACCCAAAGCAAACATGGTAAAAGGTTCTCCACAAATTTTATCAACAATATTGTCTTCCAAATGTAATGACAATCAAATATTGACACTTACACATGACATGACATTACATTTAAAATTGAAACTACTGATTTCAGGATATTATTCCCACCATCTTATGGCTTATCCCTCTTGTAGATCAGAAAACATATTAGAACCTTCTACTAAAAATGATTTAGGAATCCATGTAAGAGAAACACGTTTGATTTTAAGGCATATATTAAAAGCAATTTGACAGTAAATGCAAATAACAACGAAAAAGAAACATATGACAATCGCAGCAAGGAATTGAACCAATAACACTGAAAAAACAGCATCATCATATCAGTCAAAGCCATGCCTTAACGCATTGATACATAAAACACAACCACAGTATCATACTAACCCTTTTTTGAGAACCTTCAACCCAATATTTATTAGGCTTTGAGAACCTTAGCCTGCCAGCCTTCATCACAGAAATCACATCACCGTCCTAGAAAATTGATGCACACAAGAATATGTTATTTATAGAATTGAACAAAATGAGCAAAACGTACAGTGAAACTTTATTCAAGTCAATCCTCTTTGTTCAAGGACATCCTATTCAGTCCAAAATTTTCATTCAAGTGTGAGGATTTTAGGCAACCTATCATGCAACTTGCATTGAAGACAATTCCTTACACCAAATACTACTTGTTTTCATAATTTGTTATCAGGGGCAGCGCCTTTTGTTGATTGAGGAGCACTTTCGCCCCCATCAATTTTATTTTTTTTCAAACTCAATTGTTCTTACACATATTTTTTAAAATTATTTTTTGGTTCACAAGCATGGCCCCCTCAAATAATGAAACTTTTCATGGCTAACTCCGCCACTGTGTGTTATTGCAATGTGATGATGAAAGGGGAAATAATAATAGACAAAGAAGTTGTTCCCAGGCCTAAAAATCTATAAAAAAAAAAAAAAAAATTAGGAAGAAATCCAAAATCAACTATTAGTTCCAATTTACAAACAATATATATCAGAGGGAAAAAATATCAATTGATTGCAAGGTAAATGGATTGCTGTTGTCCATCTTGTGAAACTACACAAGACATCCCAAAATAAGACATTGATAAGAATGAGTGCCTCTGTGTGTGTGCATCCATTATAATATTGTGCCAAACTACAAAAACAAACAAACAAATAAACAAAATAAAATAAAAAAGTGTAATTTTTTGAGAAAATCTAGAGACCCACCTGGCATAGACCACCTCCAAGCTTAATTGTCTGGTTTGTCATGGTAGAAAGGTCAAGAACAACATCTCCAGGACACTATACAACCATTCACATATATTTTAATTAGCATTAAAAAAAAAAAGTAATACAATACGCAGTTCAGCATTGTATACATTGACAACATAGATGTACAAGAGCAACCACTCACCACTAATTGGTCTACTAAGTTAGTAGAGGAACCGGAGGATTTACTATCCATTTAAATGCAGAATGAATGGGCTCTTCCAACAACTTTTTATTTGAAACTGTAAAATAATATTTAGCAAACAATTAATTATCATTCATTCATTCATTCATATGAAAAGCAGCGAATAAAACCAAATCGGTTTCGTAGAAAAATACCGATTAATTACCAAACCCTAAAAAGAGAAACTGTGTGGAACACAATATCAGGGAACAGAACCGTGTCGATCGTTGGGAGTAGTGAGTCGAATGTAGGACGAAACGACGCAGTATCTTAAGAAACCGAGTTAAACTGGAAGGAACTCTGCTAGTGCTAATAAGTGCTAACCCTGACGTACGTTGGACACTGTTGGCGGAGGCAAGCAGAAACAGTAATTGCACAAAACGCACAGTTTGCTTCTTGGTATGTTTGTTTTTTTTTCATTCTTGGGCTAAATTAAAAGCCATCAAAGTGGGCCAAAACCCGAAACTAAATTCTCTCTCAACCTGCAAAGATAAGGGTTTGGTTACTTCAACGGAGAATTTTAGGATGGGATATAATAAAGATGGATAAGATAAAAGGATTACATAAAAATAAAAATAAAATCATATCCCAGCGTATGTATACTAGATCAATAGTTTAATAAAATAACATTATTTTATTTGATATTTGAAGCAAATTATCTAGTATTATGAATATAAACACATAAACAAATCTTTTTTAATAGAATTTTATATGATTTTTTAAAATTAATTTTTAACTTTTTTATACATAGTTCTTATTTTAAATATTTGAAATTTTAAAAGTCACAATTTTAAATAAATTATATTCGAATACATAAATAACCTGTATGTTTGTTATAAAGAGATATAAATAATATTTTATTTTATTTCGATATGTTTGTTATTTTATATTAGGGTGAGTTGTAGAGTTGTTACAACCCCCACTCACTTATATTCTCTCTTGTATCATTTCACTCAATGAGTTAAAATAAATCTTTACTCTCTTTTACCTTCTAACATGACATAAGCACAAACTTTTTATCCTCCATGAATGGAGGTTCCGCTGCCATCACTTTTTTTCTCCTTTGTTTCCTTCATCAATTTTTTTCTATGGTCGCTTCTCCTTTTCTTCTATTTTTTCTGTATTTTCCATAACTCATTTTCGTTGTGATTTTTGGGTTTTAGGAACTTATATCTGTGACCATCGCCTATCTCTCTTTTACCTCCTCATCCTCCATCATCGGGGCTAATGTATTGTCTAAGCAAGCTCTCTTTTACTTTGTTATCCTTCCCTTCATCGCCTTCTTCGGGGCGTTCGGGTTTGTTTTGTACCCTCTTAGCAACTATAACCCCCAAGCATTTGCGTCCTTGGTTTCTTGGTCCACTTGCTATTACGAGAATCTAGAGTTTCTGTTTGTTCTATGTCATGGTTGAAATGTGGGGGAGTGTGGTGATTTATGTGCCCTTTTTTTGGGGTTTGCCAACTAGATAACTATTGTCGATGAAGCTAAATGATTCTATCCACTATTTGGACTTGGACCAATGTAGTCTTTTTGTTTTCTAGCCGGAAAGTGAAGTACTTTTCGATAATGAGAAAAAAAATTAGGTTTTGGAGTTGATGGTTAGGCTATCTCTCTTTCTCCTTATGCTTTCTTTGATTTTTGTTTTCCTCTGTTTTTTTTATCATGTCTACTTGTTGTTTTGACTTTCTTCCATGGATTTTTATGCATTTCTTTTTGGAGCTCTCCATGATGCAAACAAGATGTTTGCTATTTTGTGTCACCAAGGCATTTTGTTACGTTAGCTATTGCTATAGCTTATGTTGTCGCTCTCTCGTTCTAAAGTTGGATTTAGTTCTCTATATGGTGTTTTATTTGGTTTTATTTTTACCTTTGTATGGCTTGTATTTGGCAATATGATTTTCTTCCCACATTTATTTGTGGTGTTCGTCAAGTCTGATTTGACTTGTCTTTCATTTCTTTTTGGGAGGGGGAGCATTTATATCAATTGTTGCCTAGTCCGTGGATTATTCCATAGCCATTGGTTTTTATCCCAGTAGCATCAATGTTGTTTTAGGATAATATCCATCCCAATCGTTCCTTCCTTTGTTGATGGTCATTCTAGTTGATTTGTTGTGCTACCGATTTATCCAGCTTATGTTCCGTGAAGCTTCGTTTTAGTCTTCTTTCTTCCCAAGATGTAGTGTTTATACTATTCACTCAATGAATTAAAATCAATCTCTACCCTCTTTTATATTCTAACAAAAATTCAATTGTGACATTTTCTTTCAATTTTGTGTACGCATTATTTATTTATTTATTTATTTTTGAGAAATATCAATAAATTATAGAATAAGAATAAATATTAGGTTTATTTATTATATAATATGCTCGAGGGATAATACATTGTGATACGTTGAAAATAATACTCATTTTTAGAGGACATAACTCCATGATTTATGCATTTTGCTTCTCACTATAGTTTTATGATGGGATATGGGGACAAAGTAGGATGATATTTGAATTTTAGTTTATCTTTGGTTGGCCACCAAAGGTTTAGTCAAAATAAAGTGATCCACATCATCTATATCTTGAGAAATTATCCACCACCTGAGTAACTACCCACTACAACACACATCTAAAACTAACTTTATAATACCAAATGATGGTAGCTCAATTAGAGCATGAGAGCAAAGTAGGTGAGGATGAGAATATGTGTTCGATCCTCCCAAGTATCATATTTGGGAGAAGTTTAAAGCCTTAATCCTAGACCCTCCCTGAACAAAACTGCCTCTTGTGAAGAATACCTATGGTTTATCCATGCAAAAAACCTAACTCTATGATAGAAAAAATTTATAAAAGGATGTGTATTCGTTTTTAATGTCTATGAGCTCTCTCTTGTATTTAGACCAATATTTATAAGTGAGAGGAAGAGTTTAAAAATATTGCATAAAGCCCACAAAAATTGAAACTCTAAATAATCAAAGAGGTATATTTTGATCCTCTTTATTTTTCATATCAATTTAATTGATGATATTGTTGTGAAGTAAATTGCTTAGATTTAAGTAATAATCTTAACATTTGAATAGGGAACTAAGAATTGTAAAAAATATTTTTTTTTCATTTTTCTAAGCAATTAAATAAAAATAAAAAATATAAATAATACGGGGTTTCAATCAGTTATGTTGCAGGAAACAAATTTAATTTTACCAAAAATATAATTATGTACTAGAGTAATATATATTTATAATATTTTTTTTTTCTTTTTTTTTCAAAAGCTATCAGCTAACGTAACAGAATTTTTTTTTTTAATATTATAATCTAGGGGAAGGATATTGTGACAACCAAGTTGTGTTACTACCAAGTGACTACCAATCAATCTCACCGTTAGATCAATTATGTTGATCCAACGGTTATATTTATTTCCATCTTTGTATGGTCATGATTCCTCATATTTAAAGTGAAAACATTAAATATAGGAAATCATAACCATACAAAGGTGAAAATAAATATAAAGTATTAAATTTGGAAAATCATGACCATACAAAGATGGAAATAAATATAACTGCTGGATCAATATAATTGATCTAACGGTAAGATTGATTGGTAGTCACTTAGTAGTAACACAACTTAGTTGTCATAATATCCTTCTTCTCTAATCTATACCCTAACCGATTTTTCCTTCATATAACACGATTTTTATATTTTTCAAACAATATATCTATTTTTTTGAAAAAAAAACAAGAGAAGAAAGAAGGATGAGACGACAACGTCTTGGGAGGTGTTATTGCAGCCAAATAGGAGATTGTGACTGTGAGCACTGCGCGCTGAACTAAAGTTCCGTTACGAGGAGCAAAATCAAAAGCCGTTAACAATGGCGATTTCCGGCGATCTAAGTGTCTCAGCAACTCTTCGTCTCCATCGTGCTCACTCACACTCACACCCATTTCGAACCTGCTCTTTCCCTTCCCCAAAGGTTTCGTTTTCTCTCACCTATCTATTTAGTTCTTATTTTACGCTTCTTATACTTCCTCAGAGGATGCATATATTCTTACTGGGAATTTTATCACGTTTGATTGAAACCCCAGTTACTCCAATGTCATGCAAACCAGGGCTTTCGAGGATTCTGGAGTTTGATTAGGGTTTTAATTTGATTAGGAATATATAATTTTATTAAATTCTGGAATTCCATTGTGATATGTTATAGTTGCTTGTTACAATCCAATTGTAAGGTACGAGACTTGAGTCCCATATCGAAAAAACATAAGATTCTACTGTAGGGTTTATATGGATTTTGGCCTTTTCTACCTTAGGAGCTAGCTTTTGGGGTTAGGTTCTCTCAAGGTTCGCATCAGTGCTTTTCAGGCGAAAGTTCATGTAAATTATCATATATTTAAGTGACAAAAACAAGGGAAAGAGAGGATTGTTGAGTTGTGTGTTTTCCATCTCTCTTCATGGTTGATTGAATGTAATTAGAGATCTTATTTGACTAAGCTCATATATATGATAATGATAGGGCCCAATTACGTAAAGCCCAATTGAACAAGGTTTATGTGAGAGATAAGGGCAGGAAACGTTGGCATGAAACCAATCAGTTGGTTAGTGCTGAGTCAGATGGTTTGTTAGAAAGGAATGAAAATATACGCGTGGCAAGTTAGTTAGAGTGAGTATTAGTAGGAAGGCATGGAAAAGAAGAAAGCACCAAGGGGTCATTGTAGGGTTAATTCCTTAGGAGATTCAGAGCATCACGAAGGCTCTTACTTGCTTTTGTTATTTCATTACTGTAAACGCTGATCCATAGCAGTACTATGGAGAACCATGTGATGCATTTCTATTTTTAAGTTCCATTGTTCGTTGAGAAATATTAATATACAGAGAGGTTATTCAGTAAAATTGTATTCTGTATCACAAGGGAAAGAGAGGATTGTTGAGTTGTGTGTTTTCCATCTCTCTTCATGGTTGATTGAATGTAATTAGAGATCTTATTTGACTAAGCTCATATATATGATAATGATAGGGCCCAATTACGTAAAGCCCAATTGAACAAGGTTTATGTGAGAGATAAGGGCAGGAAACGTTGGCATGAAACCAATCAGTTGGTTAGTGCTGAGTCAGATGGTTTGTTAGAAAGGAATGAAAATATACGCGTGGCAAGTTAGTTAGAGTGAGTATTAGTAGGAAGGCATGGAAAAGAAGAAAGCACCAAGGGGTCATTGTAGGGTTAATTCCTTAGGAGATTCAGAGCATCACGAAGGCTCTTACTTGCTTTTGTTATTTCATTACTGTAAACGCTGATCCATAGCAGTACTATGGAGAACCATGTGATGCATTTCTATTTTTAAGTTCCATTGTTCGTTGAGAAATATTAATATACAGAGAGGTTATTCAGTAAAATTGTATTCTGTATCTGGATTGTATCAATTTGGTATCAAAGCTCCACCTGGGAGTTTGGGTATGACAAGAACCAGAAGCATGGAAGGAATGGAGGAGAGGATCGTTCGTGGTGAGCAAGCTCAGGAAGAGCTCATGCGCAGACTGGATGCTAGTGATGCCAATCAAGCGGGGATCATCCGCCAATTAAGGGAACTTGGGGCTGGATTGGAGCAGCTCCGGTCAGAAGACGGCGGATATGGCCGTCACAGAAGAAGAAATAGCTTCGAAGGGTCTCATGGAGGCCACCGTGGGATGAATTACATGGAACCAAGAGTAAAAAAATTAGATATCCCAATCTTCACAGGGGAAAATGCGTACGCGTGGTTGAGTAAGGTGGAGGGATATTTTCAAGTGAATGACATTGGGGAAGAGGAAAAGGTTCCTGCGGTGATGTTGGTGCTCGAAGGTGAAGCCTTAAACTGGTATCGTTGGTGGGAACTTGACAAATCCACGACCACATGGGTACATTTCCGACGCGAAGTGTTGTGTAGGTTTCAGCCGGAGTTGTTAGATAATCCGTATGGGCCACTGTACGCGTTGAAACAGACCGGATCGGTGACAGAGTTCAAGGTGGAGTTTGAAGCGGTGGTGGGCACCATGCGCTACGCGGATGAAGAAGTGTTGAAGGGTGCATGGCTTAGCGGGTTGAAATCGAGTCTAAGACAAGAGGTGTTAATGACTCCTGGGCTGGGCTTAGCGTCCATGATTAAGTTGGCCCAGAAGATTGACCAGCGCAACTTGGCCTGGACCGAAGAGGGTGTAGGTTATTTTGGGCTCAAAAACCATATTGGGCTGCAAAGAACGTTTAACCAGCCCACATATCTAAAAGGGGGTGGAATTAAAAATGTGTTGACGAGATCGAATAGGGGAAGTCCAACTGAAATCCCCAATTCGAATGACCTAAATCGAGGAGCGACTGGAGCGACGACACAGTGGAGCTCGGCTACAAACCAGAAGGGGGAGAGCCAAGGGAGTAACTTTCGACGTCTTTCCAACGCAGAGGCAACAGATCGACGCAACAAGGGGCTATGCTTTCGATGCGAAGAGAAATGGAACCCAGAACACAAGTGTGTAACAAAAAGACTGCATCTCCTGATTTTGGGTGACGGAGACGAAGACGCAGCATGAGCTGATGGACGAAGGGGATGCTGAGCTAGAAAGACTTCGCGAGGAAGAAGAAAGGTTGTTGCAGCTGACATTACAGAGCATGATGGGTCTCACATCCAACCAGTCGATGAAGGTTTGGGGAACGGTAGAAGGTAAGCGACTGGAGGTGCTTATCGATTGCGGAGCGTCCAGTAACTTTGTGAAGACCGAGGTGGCCCAACGGCTTGGGCTAACGGTGGAGCCGACGCCTGTATTTCGAGTGGTAGTAGGGGATGGACACAAGGTTACATGCAGCGGGGTGTGTAGAAAGGTGAAGATACTGGTCCAAAATAACTCCATTATGCAGGATCTGTATCTTTTTGACCTGGGTGGGGTTGACTTGGTGTTAGGACTGGATTGGTTGAAGGAGCTTGGGGATATTCGAGCTAACTTCCGCGAGATGACCCTCCGTTATGGTTCCCAGGGTGCTGAAGTTTTTATCAAGGGGGAACCCTCTTTGTCCAGAACCATTTCTTCTCTAAAGTCTATGTCCAAGGCACTGCTACAGTCAGGTCAAGGGTACTACGTAGACAAAGAAACAGTAGAATCAGAAAGGAGGAATGAGGAGGATTTGTATCCCAAAGGGTGGACTGAGCTTGCGGAATTAATGGAGGAGTTCGATGATATTTTTGCAAGGCCTAAGGGAATGCCTCCCACGCGGGCCGGGGACCACTCCATCACCCTTAAACTAGGCAGCCAGGTACCTAATAGTCGTCCTTACCGCTATCCTTATTAACAAAAAAATGAGATTGAGAAGTTGGTAGGGGAATTGATGAGTGACGGTTTTATTAGAACCAGTTTTAGCCTATATTCCAGTCCGGTTATTTTGGTGAAAAAGAAGGATGGCAGTTGGAGGTTATGTGTGGATTACAGGGGATTAAACAAAATGACAGTCCCTGATAAATTCCCGATCCCAGTGGTGGAGGAATTGTTGGATGAACTTGGAGGTGCCACGGTGTTTAGCAAGCTGGACTTAAAATCTGGGTATCATCAGATTCAAATGGTGGAAGAGGACATTCCGAAGACAGCCTTCCGCACCCAAGAAGGGCATTACGAATACTTAGTTATGCCTTTCGGACTCACCAACGCTCTGTCCACGTTCAACGCTCTTATGAACGAGGTACTGAAGCCATTCCTAAGGAAATTTACTTTAGTTTTCTTTGATGACATTCTCATTTACAGTAAGGGTCCAGGGGAGCACATTGAGCATTTGAAGCAGGTGTTCTCAGCTTTGCGAAGGAACAAGTTATTTGTTAACAAAAAAAAATGTAGGCTGGGGCAAAACAAAATTGAATATTTAGGCCATTTTATTACCGCGGATGGGGTTAGTGCAGATCCAAGCAAAATACAGGCTATGGTTAATTGGCAGATTCCTAGAACAGTGAAGGAATTGAGGGGATTCCTGGGCCTCACCGGGTATTACCGCAAGTTTGTGCAAGATTATGGGAAGATAGCTCAGCCTTTAACAAATTTGTTGAAAAAAGAAGCATTCAAGTGAGACCAAACAGCCACGGAGGCGTTTCAGAGGCTAAAACAGGCTATGGTCAGTGTGCCAGTGTTGGCATTACCTGATTTTTCTAAAACATTTACAGTGGTCACTGATGCTTCAGGCAAGGGTATGGGTGCCGTGCTGATGCAGGAAGGTCGTCCTTTGGCCTCTATCAGTCAAGGATTTTCTAGAGGAGCCTTACATAAATCGGTGTATGAGAAAGAATTAATGGCCATTGTATTTGCAGTAAGGAAATGGCGACCGTATTTACTCAGGAGACATTTTATTGTCAAGACTGATCAAAAGAGTCTCAGATTTTTACTAGATCAACGGGTGTTAGGTGAGGAGCAACAGCGTTGGGCTTCTAAATTGCTGGGGTATGACTTTGAGATCCAGTACCAACCGGGGAAAGAAAATGTGGTGGCGGATGCCCTTTCTCGGACTATGCAGTATTCCATGATTTCTCAGGTGCAGCTACCCGAATTGGAAGAGGTTGATGAAGAAGTAAACAGAGACCAGAAGTTACGCAAGATGGTACAGGAGTTATCATTAAATCCGGGAGCACACGAGGGGTTCAAACTAGAGGGAGGCAGACTCTTCTACAAAGATCGACTGGTCTTGTCTAAGGTATCTCGTTTCATCCCTCTAATTCTACATGAATTTCACGATTCCAATGTAGGGGGTCATTCTGGATTTTCTAGAACTTATAAAAAAAATGCTGGGAATGGTGTATTGGGAGGGCATGAGGAAAACAGTTCAAGACTATGTTACTGCTTGTGCTGTTTGCCAACACAATAAGGTGCAGAATCTGTCACCCACGGGGTTATTGCAACCCCTGCCCATCCCAACACAAGTGTGGTCGGAGGTGTCTATGGACTTCATTGGAGGATTACCTAGAGCGTTTGGGGTGGACACGATTTTTGTGGTGGTTGACCGGCTTACAAAGTACGCCCATTTTATGGCTCTGTCTCATCCGTATTCAGCACAAGAGGTGGCTGAATTGTTTGTTAAGGAGATTGTGCGTTTACATGGGTTCCCTTTGGTGGTGGTGTCAGATAGAGATAGGGTCTTTTTGAGCAAATTCTGGGCAGCTTTGTTCAAGGCTGTTGGAACTAAGTTGCATTACAGTACAACATATCACCCACAATCCAATGGGCAAACCGAGGTGGTGAACCTAGGATTAGACTTACCTCTGTTGCTTTTGCAGCCCAAAACCGAAAAATTGGCCAAGGTGGTTGCATTGGGCTGAGTATTGGTATAATACCACATACAAGGAATTGACGGGGATGACCCCATTCAAGGCTTTGTACGGTATTGATCCCCCTCAACTGTTAAGGTGGGGAGCAGCTTTGTGAAGGTTGATGCAGTATCCAACTTGCTGGCCGAAAGGGAGGTTATTCTGGATGAATTGAAAGTGAACTTGGCAAAAGCACAAAACCGTATGAAGCTGCAGGCCAATCATCATCGAAGGGATGTCCAATTTGAGGTTGGGGAATCGGTTTACTTGAGGATTCAGCCATATAGATTGAAGACTCTGGCTTCTCGGGTCAATGAAAAGTTGAGTCCCCGTTACTATGGGCCGTTTACAATTGTGGAGAAAATTGGTGTGACTGCCTACCATTTGGAGTTACCTGCTGGGCATAAAGTCCACCCAGTTTTTCACGTGTCCTTACTTAAAAAAGCTAATCCGGTGGTGCTAAATGCGTACCCATTACCTGACGTATTGTCACCTGAATGGGAGCTACAAGTGCAGCCAGATGACGTAGTGGATTGGCGCAGAGACCCTCAAGGTAAAGTGCAGGTCCTGGTCAAGTGGCACGGCTTACCGGACTTTGAGAATTCTTGGGAGGATTTTGTTACTTTGGATTCTCAATTCCCTCATCTGCACCTTGAGGACAAGGTGCTTGTTGTGGGGGGGAGTATTGATAGGGCCCAATTACGTAAAGCCCAATTGAACAAGGTTTATGTGAGAGATAAGGGCAAGAAACGTTGGCATGAAACCAATCAGTTGGTTAGTGCTGAGTCAGATGGTTTGTTAGAAAGGAATGAAAATATACGCATGGCAAGTTAGTTAGAGTGAGTATTAGTAGGAAGGCATGGAAAAGAAGAAAGCACCAAGGGGTCATTGTAGGGTTAATTCCTTAGGAGATTCAGAGCATCTCGAAGGCTCTTACTTGCTGTTGTTATTTCATTACTGTAAACGCTGATCCATAGCAGTACTATGGAGAACCATGTGATGCATTTCTGTTTTTAAGTTCCATTGTTCGTTGAGAAATATTAATATACAGAGAGGTTATTCAGTAAAATTGTATTCTGTATCTGGATTGTATCAGATAACCTGCATTCGTGAGTTGTAATTCTGTTTCATGGCCCTCTAGACCAAATTATCAAAGGAGGGCATAACTGTTTTTCCACCTTATTTCATTTCATTGGAAATATTCATAATATATAGTTGACAGGTTATTTGTCTTGTAGAAATTAGAGAAAATATATTCAGTTTTTCGCCATTTTAGTTAGGAAGATCATATGCTTAAAGAGTACGCCATACTGCATTTTTCCTTTCTGATTTTTCTGTAAAAGGGGTGGGGCGAAGGTTCAATGGATGTTCTATATTTTATTGTTGAGATATTTTTATTTAGATACTTGTGGTTTAGCTTCTTAAATGTTGCATTGTTGATAAATGCTCAAGTTTACCTGTATATGTTACAGATCATAACAACATTTAGAACGCATTGAAAATGCCTTCTCAGTTCTCATTAATTTATTAATTTTACTGTCTAATAGGTAGACCTTCAGTGTTTCTTGAATGGGGCATCTAGCATTTCTGAATTCTCCCCAAAATGTCCGAGTCTGACAATTTTACGATGCAATACGCGTGGCTATGGCAAGCTTGTTTCTGGAGTCCTTGGGGATCCTAAATTTTCGGCAAAGTCAGTTAGCCAAGAAGCCGAGAACTTTCTCCTTGATGCGGTTAATATGAGCTTCTTTGAGCGTTTAAATTTGGCTTGGAAGATAATTTTTCCGTCAGCCGTATCTAGAAACAGCTCCAATGCTAGGATTGCCAAGCAACGCCTGAAGATGATTTTGTTCTCTGATCGATGTGCAGTTAGTGATGAGGCAAAGCGAAAAATTGTTAGCAACGTTGTGCGTGCTCTATCAGATTTTGTGGAAATAGAATCACAGGATAAAGTTCAGCTGAGTGTCTCTGCTGATACAGATCTTGGAACTATTTACTCTGTCACAGTGCCTGTAAGGCGGGTTAAGCCAGAATATCAAGATGTGGATGAAATTGGGACAATAACTAATGTTGAGTATAAGGACACTGGAGACAGTTCTGGTTCTGTTGATGTTAGATTTAATTTCTTTGTTCCGGATGAAAGGTCTTGAATCTTGATTTCTTTGTCAAAAGTTTGTGTTTGAAGCTCTTACCAGTGAAGCCAATTTGCTGCGCTGTATATATTTGAAAATTGAAGCTTACATTAGGGTGACTCTAGATTTTGATGAGAAATTTTGTACCACCTTTATCTGTTACTCTGTTAGTTTGATTTGATGTTCCGTTGAACAAAATGTGGTATGCTGTCTGTTCTTAACAGTTATGATAGGTTTTTGTTTCTTGAGTATATGAATTTTTTTTTTTTTTTTTTGTTACAGTATCTGAATCATTATTATTGATGGAGCTGGTAGTTACTAGTTACTAGTTAGTTGGGGAAAAATTTAATATATGTATTCCGGGTAAATATTAAAGGTACTTCCCCCCCTCTTAGAAATTGCTAACGTGGAGTTTAGAGAAAAAAGTAATTTTAATATTTACATTATGTATTGTCGAAAATACACATATTTCAAATATGACCGTCGCATATTCAGTGTGACGGTGGTACCAAAAATACTCTTCTCTGTTGGCCTATGAAAAAGAGCTATTGGATTAGTAAAGACGAGATAATCTATTCTCTTTATCTGATTGCATTTAAATTGTAACCGTGGATCATAACCACATGTCGAATGGATATGGTAGCATATAATTTCTTTAAGAATAGGTGCTGGTGTTCAGAAATCTGTACTTCTCTGCATTTTGGATGTGTTATATAGCTTAAACTGGATGTAATGTAATTACTTCCCTTTCTGATGGATTGTGTTTCTATTGTAATGCAAACTTCAAAAGGTAATCATATCTCTAATTCTGATATTTACACTCAGAAAGCCCACTGCAATATACAGAATTTGGTTCTTTAGCATAGGCCGGAAAAAAAAATAAAAAAAGTTAAATACATGTAAATATAGTTGTTGTCAAATGCATGAAATGCACAGTGCAAAATATCATTTTCATGAAATATAATAGGGAAAAATGTTTCTGCAGTTAATGCAGATAAATTATCTGCATTTATTCCCAAAACGACGTCGTTTTGGTATTGGAATCTTAAAAATTATAAATATAAAGACTATTATAATCCTGAAATAAATTAAAATTACAAAAATACCATGATTTCAATCCCAAAACGATGACGTTTTGGCTTACTGCAGATAACTTATCTGCAGTAACTGCAGAAAAAGCGAACCCAATATAATAATCATGAAATAATATGCAAAAAGTATTTATTAAAGTTTGCAAGAAGTAAAACCCTTTTGAATTTTTTGCATTTTTTCAATAAATGCAAGACATTTAATTCAAGCATACACAAGTAAAATTTCTCCTGTACCAAACGCTCCCTAAGTGAATGTTATGCAATATACAATAATTTGATATTTTTATAAATAAATTATTGTTTCTTTAAAATAATAAATATTATTAATGCATACTTTTATGGTTAGTGCTATATATATAAATATGTATATTTTTATAAAAGTATGCAGTAAATAAAGTATTCCACTATAATAATTATATTATAATAAAGAACATTATATAATTTTTAAATGTATGCAATAAGTAAAATGATTCTACTACAATAATTTTATTGTTAAATGCTCAGCCCAAATTTCAATCAGATTTCAGATTAACTTAAAAAAATAAATTCAACAGGGAATTGAACCCGACGTGAATCGAACACGCAACCTTCTGATCTGGAGTCAGACGCGCTACCATTGCGCCACGGATCCACTTGTTGTCGAGTAATGATATATTTACATATTTATTTGGTTATAAATTGTTATCTGCGTTACGCGGGCACATTTTCATTTCTAGAGGTTCAAATCTCAGTGGCTTCACAAGTTTCAATTTTGTTTTGAGATTACTGGTTCGCAACTCGCTTGCTTTGACCTAAAAATGAACGAAGATTGGTGGGAATTGCAGCTGGAGACTCCGATTAGGGACGCCATTACGAGAACCCGATTCGCGCCCCACTCTAACAACCTCCTAATTTCTTCTTGGGACAATGTGAGTTTCGTTTCAACTACCTTTCCCCCCTCATTTTTACCTTTAATTTTCTATAAGCAACGTGAGTGAATGAATTTCTGAGGCAGAGTCTTCGGCTATACGACGTTGACGCCTCCTTGCTCAGACTAGAAGCTCCTTCACAATCACCTCTTCTCGATTGTTGCTTCCAGCACGACTCCGTTGCTTTCACCGCTGCTTCTGATGGATTCATCCGAAGGTTTTATTTTATTCATTTATTTATTTATTTATTTTCTTTCTTAAGTTAACAGCTTTTATGCTTTCATTTCTTAAGTTATCCATATATGACTTTCCTAAGTTTTGCATATGATATGTCTTTATTATTATTATTTTTAATATTATTATTAGAATCAATGAACAAAACTGAGAGCGTAACTTTTATCGGTGTAAAATGATCATGACCTTAAGCATGCTAACAGGTGTTTGATTTCTGGTCGTGTGTATGAGAAAAACTTTGTAGATAGAGGCAAAACCCACTTTGGTGCCTCGAGGGTATTAGTCTTTGGCTGTCGGTTAGGGGATTCCCTGGGTAAAAAAAGTTGTTTTTAGATGTAAGAATAGAAAGTTTTATACCAAATCTTGGCTATTGATTTGTTTGCATCTAATGGATTAAATATCTAATAAATCATTAGTGTAACTTACCCTAGTGTAAAATAATCGTGACCCTTATTATTATTATAGGTGTGTTTTTGACTCCTCTTTAGCTAAACTTTATAGGTATGATTTGGATTCAGGAATTATTGATACCGTGGGTAGTCACGATGATATAGCAACATGCATTGGATATTCCAATGAAACATGTAAGTTACTGACCTAACCTTAGTTCCTCTTTCGATTTGTTTCTATTATAATTGTTATCTTTTTATTACTTTTCGTTTTTCATTTGTTGATATGATATTGAATGGCATATTAGCAACTAATTTGCAATCCTCCCCTCACCCTTCCCACCATTTTTACCCACACAAGAGAATTGTTCGTCTACATGATTTCTTCTGTTTTCATATGTGTTGAGGCATGCATGAATGGTTAACTTAATGCATGTTAGATGTTACTAGTTGTGAACTCCCCTGTTTTGACTATTTCTCAAGAGAAATATTTAAACATAGAGATCAATAAATTCTTGATGGGGAACCCAAGATGATGTTATGCTGGTGTGAGATGAAATAAAAAGTAAAATTGTATTTCAAAAGCACTAGTTTTTTTTTCCCTTTAAAAAAATGTTTCCACTTGCCATATCATAAGTGTGGTCTAATTGTAGTAATGCTGACTTATTTTCAATTGTAATTGTAAAGTACATATCCTTAGTACTTATCATGTTTCACTCTAATATTCTTAAAAGTTCATACAAATAAAAATGTTGAGATGCTGGTTTTGGGCAAACAAAAGATCTATCATGGCCATGATGTATTATTCCAAAAAAAGTTCATGTTATTCTTGGCCTGGTTATTGCAGGTCAGTTGATCTCATCTGGATTTGACAAGAAGTTATTGTTGTGGGACACCCGTTTGGAGAAGGCTTGTTCATGCTTGAGAAATCTTGGTGCAGAGGTGGATTCCATGTCCGTCTCTGGGTTTAATTTTATTGCAGGCATTGGAGCATTTGTGCATGTTTATGATTTGCGTAACTTTGACAAACCAGTTCAGTCAAAGGAGCCATGCAATGCACAATTATGGTGTGTCAGTTCAATTCCTTATGCAAAAGGTATGAACTTTGAAGTCCAACTTAGTTTATTTTGTCAACTTAGGTACACCTCCTAAAAGCTATACAAATAGCATTGCCTTTGTTCTTTCTGATCCACCTTGATAATATTTTCTGAGTGTTGTTTTTCTAGTTATACCATTTGTAGATATGAGATTTAAAATTATGATCTGTTCCTAGACAATAGGAAATCTGAGTTCAGGGCTTCAGGCAATTTTTAAATCTGAGTTCTTGCAGGATTTGCAGTTGGATCAGTTGATGGACGAGTAGCATTGCAGATTTCCTATTCATCCAATTCAAATGACATAGGGTCAGTTTTAGAAGAACATTTCATATATGCTTTTTTGTAACCCAAAAGGGCTCGCTCGCTTGCTAAAAGACTAATTTTTTAAGGATGTGATTCATTCCTGGTGTTTTATTTTTATAATCTGACTTCCACAAGTACTACTTTCCTTCATTTTACTTTTATAGCTTTGTTGGAATTCCATTTGTGTTAGGATAAATTTAACAATGAATGTGAAACTGGAGTTATTTAAATATGTATGATTTTATTTAACAGCCATATGATGTATTTGCTGGCTGATTTTGGGTTTGGTGTTGATGATTTTCTAGTGCATAACATATAGATTTATGTTATGGCTGTTGAACACATCATCAATGTAAAGAACCTTGGAATACACCACCCCAAAAGCTAGCTCAAAGGGTGGGAGTGCCCAAGGCCTTATAAAGGCTATATTAGTTGCCCATCCAATCAATGTGGGACTATATATCTCAACACGCCCCCTCACGCAAGAGCCTTTTAGGCTAGAAGGGTGGAAATTGCACAGGCCCATTTTTGGTTTACCTTTTGTGCTTTTTTTTTTTTTAATTCCACTTTAAAGCGGGGGACGGTGAGGCTCTGATACCATGTAAAGAACCTTGGGATACACCACCCCAAAAGCTAGCTCAAAAGGTGGGAGTGCCCAAGGCCTTATAAAAGCTATATTAGTTGCCCATCCAATCAATGTAGGACTATATATCTCAACACGCCCCCTCACGCAAGAGCCTTTTAGGCTAGAAGGGTGGAAATTGCACAGGCCCATTTTTGGTTTACCTTTTGTGCTTTTTTTTTATTTTAATTCCACTTTAAAGCGGGGGACGGTGAGGCTCTGATACCATGTAAAGAACCTTGGGATATGTTGAGATATATAGTCCCACATTAGTTGTATGTGCAACTAATGTGGAGTTTATAAGGCCTTGGACACTCCCACCCTTTGAGCTAGCTTTTGGAGTGGTGTATCCCAAAGTCCTTTACATGGTATCAGAGCCTTGCCGCCCTCCACTTTCTCTTGTGGCGTTTCTTAGCACAGGTAGGCTGGGCCTGTTGCATTGTCCACTCTTCAAGCCCAATGGGCTCTCGTGTGAGGGGGCGTGTTGAGATATATAGTCTCACATTGGTTGTATGTGCAACTAATGTGGAGTTTATAAGGCCTTGGGCACTCCCACTCTTTGAGCTAGCTTTTGGGGTGGTGTATCCCAAGGTTTGTTGAGATATATAGTCCCACATTGGTTATATGTGCAACTAATGTGGCCTTTATAAGGCCTTGGACACTCCCACCCTTGGAGCTAGCTTTTGGGGTGGTGTATCCCAAGGTTCTTTACATGGTATCAGAGCCTCGCCGCCCCCTACTTTCTCTTGTGGCGTTTCTTAGCACAGGTAGGCTGGGCCTGTTGCATTGTCCACTCTTCAAGCCCAATGGGCTCTTGTGTGAGGGGGCGTGTTGAGATATATAGTCCCACATTGGTTGTATGTGCAACTAATGTGGCCTTTATAAGGCCTTGGACACTCCCACCCTTTGAGCTAGCTTTTGGGGTGGTGTATCCCAAGGTTCTTTACAATCAACAACAACAATAATATCACCTTTTTCCCAAACTAGTTGGAGTTGACAGTCTGTGAACACATATAAAAGCAACAACAGGAAAATCTTTGGTGCTTGGTTCCTATTACGAGGGCATTAGTGTACATGTGGTATTCACTGTCTAATTGTTAGTGCAACACTAATGAAACTAACATTTGCAATTTCATTTTCTATTTTTTCAATTTTAGCTACCATTCACCATGAATTCTTGGCCGATTGCAAAATCTCCTTAGAATTAGATACCTGCCTTATAGATGTCCTAATTTATCTATCTACGTATTTATTGTTTAATTTGGATCCCAATGTGTTATGATGGAAAAGTTTGCAGATTCTTGTTAATGACAGCCACAGGTTCTAACCAATTGCTATATCAAAATCTGACAGATATACATTCAGGTGTCATCCAAAATCAAAGGATGGACGGCATCATTTGGCATCGGTGAATGACATTGCATTCAGTCCACTGTATGTGCCTTCTTATCTGTAAGTTGCCATTATAAATTATAGAACTTGATTAATATAATCTCTGTTTAGTGTGTCTGGTGCTTTTGTCACCGGTGACAATGAAGGCTATGTTACCATATGGGATGCTGGAAGTAGGAAAAGACTTGTTGAGGTATTTGTTCGTACTTGTGCGTAATTGTTATGATGTTTGTAATCAGTTTTGCAGTTTTCTACTTTTCTTTACTATCATCTTTTCTCAATTTCAGTTGCCCAGATACTCAAATAGTATTGCATCCTTATCATACAACCATTTAGGACAGCTTCTGGCCGTAACATCAAGCTATACTTACCAAGAAGCAAAGGAAATGTGAGTAATTCTTAGCTTATTTGTTCTCCACTCATTTCTTCTGTATCAAATGTGACTGGTATCCCCTTATCAATATTATTATTGGCATTGCAATTCTCGATTTCTTTCTTCCTAATCATTAAGGAGTGAATTTCGTATTATTTCTTGTACATTTTTATGATGTGTAGATTCCCCTAGATCATATCTTAGGTGGCCAATACTCAATATATAATTAAGGACTTGAAAGTTTGAACTGCTGGATTTAATATTTTATTAAAAGAGAACGCCAAAGAGCTATTAGTGTGAAATGTGAATCATGCTCTTTGTATCACCTGAATTATCTACCCATCTCCTGCTCGATTTTGTGGAAATTTCTATATATGCAGGATATTCAAGAATATGAGAATGGATTATCATTTTTCTTTTTTCATGAACCATGAAGTTTCTATTCCTTTCTTTTACTCATGATATATAGCTTCCCTTGGCCCTCATGTTTTTAGAAACAGGGTTTAAATCGGTTATGGTCACTTAATTATTTAGTACATAGCACATACTTCTTAATGATTTTCAAATATAACTTTGTTCTTTTTAATTTTCATTTAAATTATATGAACCCTTCATCTTATTACACTAGGACCAGGAAAGGCCTTACTAGCTGCAATTCCTTGTTGCATATTAAATGACCTAATTACTTCATATAACAGTTAGGCAATAAACTAAACTAGACATTGCTAGCTGGAACTATACATGGAATTATTCTGCTTTTGAGTTCAACCTTTATTTTATTCATTTGATTATTGCATCCTTACTACGGACAGAGAAGAGCCTCCTCATGTATTCATCCATAAAGTGGACAACATTGATATTGGATCAATTTCTGCTGGTAGGAAAAGTTAAGCGTTTATGCTATGCTTGTCAATGAAGGTAAGAGACACACAAGTGGTTAATCTTTGCTATTTATTCGTTCCATTGGAAAAGGAATTTTTTGTGTTCTGCTATTCTTGTCTCAACCTCGCTGTTTTTTTCTTTTTCTTTTTTCGCTGTGGTAGTGGTTTATGCCTGGTTTTCATTATTTTTTCTAACAAGCATGGAAATTCTCCCTTTATGGAACGAGCATGACATGATATTAACATTATTGTGCACTACAGTTCACCCAATGCTAAAGGGATAGTTAACTTTTACGGAAAATGTTTCATCTACAAATAAAATCTTATATTTTAGGCGTATAAATAACATTGATGTATATTTATTTAGTTTTATTCGGGAAATTTGACTTGAACATTCTTGCAATACTGATTCATGTCATAAATGATCATGTACTGTTTGTAAGAAAAAAAGAGAATGATTATATATCGTGTTTGCAGAGAATCGGCATCTAATATGGGAGAAAGTGACAGTAGCTCATATTGAAGCTGAGGGAAGATACTCCTTATACTTTTCCATGCCTGTTCACACTCATTTATGTAATTATATTACCTGAAAAGAAACGTTTCCATGTGTGAATGTATGTATTTATTATCCCTTTACCACATCAAGATCGATCATATTATTAAATGATAAATTAATCTTAATGCACGTATGAAATTTTTTTATGAACATCGCATGCAAAAGTTAAACTTTTTCAACCTATTCTTAAGTATAAATTAGTTTTAATTTACTGTGTTATATATATAATTTTACGGGTCTCAAACTTCTCAAGACATTTTTTTTACAGCAATCAATTAACGCTATTTTAAATTTATAACTATATCTTACCCACAAGACATAGTGTTAATTGGTTGTTACAAAAAATATCTTCTCACATAAAATGAGAAGTACATTTTCCTAATTTTATTAGTATAAATTAAGAGAAAATATTATTCTCTTTTTACGTAGGATAATTTATCTCATGTTCTCTCATTTCGATTTTTGTATTTCATCTTTTTTTTTGTATAATGGAGAAATTTATCCATTTTCTCTCTATAACATAAGATAATTATCTTACGTGAAAGGAGACTAATAAAACCTTAAATTAAATACTCATTTGAATGAACTTTTGTTTTTAAAAAAGTTGTTTTTTTTTAAAAGAAAAGTCATTTTGAAATTTTTTAAATGTTTGGATAACAATTTTTTAAAAAATTAAAATTTAAAAAATACTAAAAAAGAATCACGCTAGGTGTACAATATTTGGCACAGTACTTTACAATTTCAGTACAGTGAGGTAGTGGGACTAGAATCTTGCGTTGATTTAAGTTGAAATTAGTTATAATTAAAAAATAAAAATTGTGTATTTCAAGTAATGTGTGATTGTGTGAAAGTGTAGCATTATGAAGAAAAAAAAGACCTCATAACGTAGTTATTATCACAAATGTATTACATAATGATAATAAACGGATTTATATTGATAATAAACAAAAGTTTAAGTATTATCTTGTGAGAATTTTGATTACATTAAAGTGTACACATAAATTTATAAGCCTCATAATATCTTGTCGTAATTATTCGTTTTTATTCAAGAAAACTATGTAGGTAAATGTGTTTCAAAATTTAGAGTGCAGTTATTTATGCATGATAGCATGTGTATTCTGATATTTTCATTCAAACTCTGTAACAAGGTTTTTCTTTTTCATTTTTTCTTTCTTTTAAGCAAAGAAACAGAAGAGAGAGAGAGAGGTGTGCAGAGAGAAGAGAGATGAAATGCGGGTCCCGTTTCCTGCAGCCCCACGTGGTGGGGTGTGGTTGTAGCGTTCTTAAAACGCAAGTTCAAATTAAAATTTTCAAAGCAAGGAGGAGACGTGTTTAACTCCATCTTTTTTTCTTTCCAATTTGGAGCAATGAAGAGGAAGGGTGTATTTTACTAAAGAAACAGTTTTATATAAATACATGAACATAAAGGCTTATATTTATTTATTTATTATTATTATTATCATATGATTCTCTTTAGAATTTTATATATCATATAAATCATCATACAATGTGATAACCTTGTATCACATAACATGGTATAATCCTTTAATATGCTACCGAAATTATACACACATTTAAACATTAAAAAAAAAACAGACGAGTGTGCATCAATCACAACCATATGTGTACAATCAATTTTTAAGAAAATTAATTTATGAAAAATTTATTGAATTTAAGACCAAGAATTTATTTGCATCACTAATTTAATACGGACATGGAAAAAGAATGATGAATATAGTAATTATTTTCAAATGGCTTTGAGTTTTTTTCACTTTATAGTGATAATTTTTAATTTAACTACAGTTATTTGTATGAAATATTTAATTTCTTACTATATAATAATAAATCAATTCAAATATTTATTTTAATAAAAAACAAAAAGTACTAATTGGCAGAAACATACTGTTAATCAATATAATAATAGAATAAGTGTTTACCATTTCATGCTTTAGATTTGTTTTTAATTTTTAAATATAATTAAATAATGATTATTTTTTAATTACTTTGGGTAATTTTTAGAAATTCTTTCAATAGTATTATCTTAATTTGCATTTTTTCTTCTTATCAAATTCAAGTTTTGAATTTGTTTTAGCATTATTATTGGTTGATTATTGTTTTATTATTAAATTTCTTATGTTAACATATTGAGCACTTGAGCTCACGGAAGGTGGGTATTGTTCGCGGTTTGGATTGGATCGGTTTTGGAAGTAAAAATCATCCGATTCGATCCCTTCAGTTTGATCATGTATTCATCCATTCGGTTTGAATTTTTTTTCAAATTCGATCCGATCCAATTCAATTTTTTTCGATTTGGATTGGATCGGTTTTCGATTTTTTGAAAATCCTAAAATTTGTTTCATGATTATTGTACAAATAACATCTTTTGTATATATTGGCTTTGTAATTTTTTTTTAAATACAAAAGCATCAATAAACATTTGATGAGATGTGACTAGATTTTCTTGGGTTTAATTAATGGGTCTTGAGTTTAGAAATTTATGGGCTATGATTGGAAAAAGACCAAGTAGGTAGAGAAAAATTAATATATTGGATCGATTTTCGGTTTTTCAATTTTCGATTTATTCGGTTATCGATTTTTCGGTTCGGTTACTGCGATTTGAATCGGTTTGGATCGGTTGATAAACACCTCTAACTCAAGGTATGTTTACGTATAAAGTTTGACTTCATCCGTCGTTATTTATAAAGTTCAAATATTTTAATAATGTCTCAATCCATTATTATTTCAAATAATAAAATTTAGTGCATCAAATTGAAACAATTTTTGAAACTCAATATTAGTATTAAAATTTTAATTATATTATTTACAAATTTTTTTTTACATTATTATATAAGATATCTTGTCAGATTATTTAATCAGTTTAAAATTAACTGAAAATTCAAATTCAAGTTTTTTTTTAAAAAATTTTAAAACAGAATTTAAAGAGATAAGTACAATCGAAGATAAAACTGAATTTTAAAAAAACTTGAATCATTATCATCAGAGGAAAATAAAAATAAAAAGAAAAATAAATGTTGTTATAAGGTGTGAGTGAAACGTGTGTTTGTTGAAGAAAACGAGGAATATCGAACATTACAGTGTGTGAGTTTGTGAAGAGCTATGTCTGACGAAGAACATCACTTTGAGTCGAAGGCTGATGCCGGTGCATCCAAGACTTATCCACAGCAAGCTGGAACCATCCGCAAAAATGGTTACATTGTCATCAAGAACAGGCCCTGCAAGGTTTCTTTTCTCTTTTTCTTTTTCTTTTTTTATTAACAATTTAATTCCTTCAAATTTTGGATTTTTTTGATGGGTTTTGCTCCGGATTGTGATGAATTATTCTTTATTTTTTATTTTTTTAATCAAATCGGAGGAATTGATAAATAGATATGATGAATCAAACCCCATTAGGTTTTCTTTGATCAATATTAATTTTTATGTCAAACCTATCCCTTTAAATGCTTCTCCAATTTTTTTTGGGGTGATGTTATGGTTGGTGTAAGTGTTTGTTGTTTCTGCAAAACTAAGATGAAGCTTTTTTTTTGTTGGACAGGTTGTGGAGGTTTCAACTTCTAAAACTGGAAAGCATGGACACGCAAAGTGTCACTTTGTTGGTATTGACATCTTCACCGGCAAAAAGCTTGAAGATATTGTTCCATCTTCCCATAACTGTGATGTATGAAAGTGTCTTTTGTATTTGGATTTGGATTTTTCTTTAATTAATAAGGCCATCCATGTTTATAGTATTTTTATGTTGTTGTGGTTACAACAGGTCCCTCATGTCAATCGCGTTGATTACCAGCTCATTGATATCTCAGAGGATGGATTTGTAAGATTACAATTACATTTGCCTCCCTCACTCTTTCTTTATTTTATTTTTTTGTTAAGGGTGATTTTAAGCTACACCTATGAAAAGTGATGTGATCTAAAGTATGGTTATTTTGAATGAATAAACGGTTATCATTATTTTCTGTAAATGATTAAAGCAGTTGGATACATGGTTTTTTGAGTTTGTAGTTAATGATGTATAAATAAATGGTTAATGTAGTTTGATAGTTAGTTAATAATGTGTGTTACACTATCCCTTGATCATAGGGTAGTGTCAGTCTTCGTCTTTACTTAAAGGTGACTAATGTGATATTTTAAATGGAATATATTAGGTGAGTCTGCTGACTGATAATGGTGGTACTAAGGATGACCTTAGGCTTCCAACTGATGATAATCTGCTTTCGCAGGTTAGTTTGTTTGTTACCTTCTCTTCATATTCTGGGATTGTTTTGCTTCTAATGTTGAATAGTTTCATGACATTGTGGTGGATATGAATATTCGATGGTGACATCGTTTTTCTTGTGGCTTTGTTATGTCCAATTTAACAAAAGTAATGAAACTGGCATGATGTTGATCATCTGTTAAAACTTTTATAATCTGCACCATCTTGCACTGATTATGATTTCTGTCATGCAGATCAAGGATGGATTTGGTGAGGGTAAAGATCTGGTCGTGTCTGTTATGTCTGCCATGGGTGAGGAGCAGATTTGTGCCCTTAAGGACATTGGCCCCAAGTAATAGAGCCATGTCAGTTGAAGCAAGAAAGCGAAAGTTTGAATTGAAATGATATATATATTTAGTATTTTTTCCCCACTCTTATGTGTGGATTTGTGTACTAAATCAGCCTAAGTTTGTACCCTTCTTACAAGATGTGGTGGAGACTATTGGATGACTTTATTTAAGATTCTATTACCTATATCTTTGTTGTGGTAGATCAATGCTAAAACCATCAACTGTTACATGGTGTGAAGAAGTTATATTAGCCACTGGCCTTTGTGACTATTTATACGCTTATCACCTTTTAATCTTTCTAATATAGTTTTCTTCATTTTGATGTTTCTTGATTGCATTTGAAATTTATGCCTTTGTTCAGGGAAAAAGAAAAATCTGATCACTGAATTCTGTACTCAGTTTTTCTGAAATTCTATTATCTTGTAATTGACAAGATCATATGCTAGTTCCTTCAAAACACAGGTGAGGCATAAATTAAAGGGCGAAGTGTCAACCACGTCTTATAGTTGTTCTTTTGCGTTCATTTATTGAGCACTTGAAGGCAATAACTATTTGAGTGGATTGGGTTTCCACCATGAATAATAATGCTCTTTTATTTATATAATTTTTTGAATGATCTAGATTGTGTTATGTGTAGCATGTTTCATTATTTTCCTTCCTCCACCCCGTATTTGGTTAAAAAAGAAGCATATGTGGACGACAAGCCCTCAATGCCTGCCCAACGAGCAAGTCTTGAACCCTGAATTTCAGCCCCTAGAACTCATGTTCAAGTACATTATCAGTTAGTGTTGCTCACCCCAAAGCCAGAGAAGTTCACAACTCCCACATTCATTATATATTGGTAATAAGAATCAATCCAAGGCAGTTTGTTTAAACGCAGATATGAGAAATGTAGAGTTGAATTATTTATTTATTTATTTCTCATAGGAGAATCCTTTCGGGTTTTAGAAAGTTCTTTCAACTAATTTCTAAACCAAAACCCCCAAGTAAAAGTAGCTCCAAAGGAAAATTACAAAACATCCTTACAAGTTACAACTTCTAGAAGTGAAACTGGGAAGCACTAAAATATCAAAGTAGCCAAACATAACTTCGATAAAATAAAAAAAAACATGACACTGGATTTGTGAGTTGTTTTTGGAAGACACATGACTGTAATTGTTAGTACAACTAACTCTCACATTCACGAGGAGTCCAAAAATTATTACTTGCTGTGGATGAATGGGAGCTATGCAAAAGACTTTGTTATGGCAGATTTATCTCAAAGATCGAACGACTGTTCCAAGCCAGTCATCAGGGATGCTGCTTCTCAGATCTCCATTTAAGGCACGTAATGAGTGGCTTGTTGCTGCCTGAAATGAAGCTAGAGGTTTCAGCATTAGGAGCTCTAAGATATATCACAAACAGAAGAAATATAACAAACAAATATTACTTTTACAATGTAGACATCAATTCCAAGTTTTGCTATAATTGCAGCTTCTGAGATCTTTGTTTTCATTCCACCAGTTGTATCATGGGCCGCCAGAGTTAGATCAACTATACAAAACACATGCCAGAAAAATTCAAACCATATATTCAATGGAAGCATGCACGTTATATTAGTAAGTTAACAATATATGCCAATATAAAAACTTCTAAAATTCTCAGAATTGTTTATTTATGGTGTCAGAGAAATGGCAAAATATAAGGTAAGTTTGTGCCCCAACTCAGCCTATTGTGGTAACTTATCGTTTATGAGTGAAATGAAATATCTTCAATTCTTTGATACTACTAATTGATACTAGATTCAGACTCCATTCCAATAAAAACTCTTTAAAAATCTGGACATGCACAGATACTGAACTCAGAACAATGTTGTCTTGGTCATTTCATCTCTCTGTAAGCCCCGAAAAAAACAGGCAGAATAGCTAAGCTATTATGAGTGTTTAAAAAGTTCTCATAGAACAGTTACTGGACTAATATTTCCAAAGCATATCCCACTGCAAAAAATGTAACCAAAAATAGAATAGAAAGCAAACTGAATAATGATTTACTAACTCTGCTTACTTGAGTTCTGCAACTTTGGTTTTACAACTGACCAGCTTCCATCTTCAGCAACAGCTGTCATAGTTGAAAAAGTTGCTATGTAACAACCAACCATGAAGAGAATAGGCCATATGGAAGATTAAGTTTACAACAAGTGCTCACCAATCTCCTTTAAGAGTATTGCATCAGGTTCTGTTGGTGGGCGATCATATACCCCATATACATCAGTCTTTTGTCTATGCTTAATGGAAAACATTCATGTAATGTCTTCTAAAATCTCAGATTTATAAATTGTGATAAGCTGATCCAAGTACTTTGGTCCTAGACAATTCAAAATTGTGGTTTTGTAAACCTATCTTGCATACCAATACAATGCTTTAGCAACTAAGTGAATGTTAACTTTACAAACGCCATTCTGCATGAGTTTCAAGGCACTTTTATTTGCAGCAAGAATTTCTCTCTCTCAAAACAGGAGGGATTTGCATTGAGAGGAAGTTAAAACAAACAGACCTTAGCCAAACAGCTCAGCAATTGGGAATATTAAACATGTGGCCAGAAAAGAAAATTGAGATGTTGGGGTTGTTATTATCAATATATCAATGATATCCCTTAAAGGGAACTATATACTCACTGGAAGACCATTTATTTTAGAGCCTGTTTGGATCATCTCTTTTTTAAACTAGAAGTTACTTCAAAGTTAAAGCTAAAAAAAAGTAAAAGCTGTTTGGTGATTACATAAAAAAATTTGTTTAAAAATTACTTAAAAGCACATATTTCAAAAAAAGCACTCTCTCTATCTCTATGGCTCTTCATCTTAAAAAAAGCACACAATTCAAGAAAAGCTGATAAGAGCTTAAAAAAAGCTATTCCTAAAAGCTTTTGGCTTTTGGCTTTTTTCTTTATTATAAAATAGAGAGTTTTTCATTATAAGAGTTTTTCTCAAAACCTGTTTGACCTAGCTTCTGCTTATAAGGAGAAGAGAAGCTAAAAATAAGAAGATTCAAACAGGCATTTAGTATGCTCAGAAAGAGCTTTATATTTGTAGGCAATTCAAGAATAAAAAATGGGTATACATGACATATGGAGGATACCAAGAAAACGACATATTTAGGCTTTGAGTATGTTGCCAGGTGACTTATGATGACATCTCCACTCAAAATAGTGCATCCCTGAAAACACACTAACTTAAAAAATGTCATTTCCATTATTAATGAACAATAAAACTAAGCATACTGAGTCTCTACCAGAATTTCATCGAGTATTGCATCCCCATGCAGAACCTAGACATTTTGCAATGAGCCCCACATTATTCAAAGTAAAAAATAAATAAGAGAAAAACAATTACAGAAATTGGAACCTTCATAGTAAAGTTCAGACCAAAAAAATATAGAAGTGCGTATTTTATAACACTAACTTTATATTAAGATTTTATGTAGATGGAAAGAAAATTTTTTCTTCTATTTCATTACAGTTGTACATGACAATGCATTTGCTTTAGTCATTGCAAAAAATAAAATAAAAATGGTACTCAGTCTAAGAGGGTATAGTTGGGAACTACGTCAATTCAGATGTAACAACCCTGTACCCCAATTGGCTGTGTATGGGACTATAACGTATAGTGTGGCAGATCCAACATTCTAGTCAACTTTTTCTCTACATGTATCACCCATGAAGAACTCTTAATCCTTGATAAACCAGGCTTTCACTAATTTTCAGCTCGTTTAACATTTTAAGTACTATCAGAAAGATATAGAAATAATAAAAAACCATTCTTACGTAACAAGGACGAAAGGTTAAAAGAGTGGTAGAAAAAACATTTAAAAGCTTCAAAATAGTGATATAAATTAAGGAATTCAATCTTACAGGTGTAAAACCAGAATCAATGGCCTTAGCAACCGAAGATAAATCTGCTGAAGATATCTGCACATAGTGAATATGAACTTAGAAGAGTAACTTTATCTGAAAAGGAAGACAAAACAAGTCTGAAATTCATTGTGATGACGGATATGATCTGACAGATATTCAGAGAGTTTACTAACATGTCTCTCACTGGTGAACCATCCACATGAGAAAGGTGACATTCCAATTGAAGGAATACCCTCTGCACAAAGAAAGAAATATCTTTTTAAAATGGATTACTTAAAAGAACAGAAGCCAAAAAAAGGGGTGACACAGATAGCAGCAAGTATTAAGTTTTAATGGAAGTATAATTATTATCAATGCAGAACATAGCTTAAACAAAACTTTTCAATTACAGATAAAAAGCTCATTCAAAAGATTAAAAGGGATAAGTCGCAAAAATCTTCAGTTTTAGTGGATTATTGGTGTTTTATTAATGTAATAGCCAAAAAGAGTTCCACAGACATACACAATTTTCAAAAAATTGATTTTTTACTTTCATAAATTTATTTCTTTTCATCTTAAGGGTGTTTTTTTTAAATAGCACAGATTAACAACTATAGAAAAAAAAAATGAATGCTTGTACTTCCATATTCCATTAAGTAGCAAGGTAAGGAGAGTGTCATCTTAGCCAATAAAGAGCCACCCCAAAATAATAAAGCCAAGAATGACACATTAGTAAAAATCAAAATAGTGATCAAACATGAAAAGAGGACCATGGAAATAGATAACAACCATGTGAGCCAAATCTCGATATGACTGAAAAAGCTTAGAAGTATAACATGTTGTTGCCATGATAACATTCAGTGTTACCAATGACCAACTAGATCAAGAACTTAAAATAAAAGCAGAAAAGCCTGAAACAAAAGATGAATACCCAATGCTTTGATACAAAAGAAATCATTGTGCATATATAGACAGCAATAACTATGAAACCACCTCTAGCTAGTGCTCTGACAACTTCAAGATTGAGAGAGGTTACCTGAAAATGGAAATAAATGGAATGATAATCATGAAGGAGATCCTCATTCTGAAAGTAATTTACTAATTTGTATAAAAGCAAATTTTCATCTTTTTTTTTAAAAAAAAACAAAGAGGCTCTGCATAATATTATTTAAGGAATATAAGAATCTCAATCAAACTCATATAAGTGAAAGTAAAAATAACTAACATTATCAGAACAGTCTAATGATACCACTTGGCAAACTTCTAATATATAAAAATATGGCACTGATAGAGCCCCCAAATTTTCCCTTAAAGCACAACATCGTAATTACTAATTAGCAAGAATACACCAACTAATCATCATTTTTTGTGATATTCCACTCAAATTCTTGATAAATCTCCTCTAAAGTCAGGAAATATAACTGCTATGTACAATCTAAACTTTGAGAATTTTGCAATGATAGATCCCCAAAACATATTCATAATACAATAGATTTCAGATGACACCAATCGATGTTATATTTATGACATCCCAGTCGTTGTCCTTGCCGTCAAAGTTAATAACTACATCTGCTGTGCACAAATTAGATTCAGAAGCTTCTTTTTCAGGATTGGTAAACTTTGAGGAGCAGTGCTTCATTTTTTAACAAATGTTGGTAGACTTATATAACAAATAGAACAAGACTACGCATTTGACTAGTGACTTTGACAGGGAAGCATTTCAGAAAGCATTATGGTTACAAATAGACAAGAAAATTTCTCCCCAAGAAAAAAGATATAACATCAGCATATTGAGTGAATTTAGAAACAACGGAATTTGTTTCATCATGAAATTCAGGAATAAGCTTGATTAGCATCAATTTGTGTTTGGAGAAGCAGTTAGCTCCTAGGTGTCAGCTGCACTGGTTTAACAGTCAAAATGTCACATTAATCTGTACAAACTCCACAATTACAACTATAGAGAGGTCTTATAAAGTTGCCAATGATTACTTACAGATATTCGGGTAGCAACAAAGCCACCCTTGACAAGAGGCTTATTCAGTTGTCCTTTGTGGACAGCAGATTTGCTAGCTTGGAAATGGCCAAAAGAACCTGAGAGCACCACAGAGCCTAATATGAACTAGTTGGTTATCATTAAGATTTAACATCTAGTTTTTAAAAATCACATATTGTTAACTCCATCCACCGAGGCAATGGAGAATATTATATCTATAACAGTTTTTATTTAAATAATTTATTTTGGATAACATACAATAGATTACAGACACTTGGAGATGTCTGGAATGGGTGACATTCATTTAAAAGGAGTATATGTCCATTATGATCCTCTAAAGGCACATGTGATATCAAATTAGTATTCCATTTATAAATACATCAAAATGATTCTCCAAAAGACATATGTAACATCAAAGTAGTCCTTCCATGTCACATTTTTGCCATCAAATTGATCCTTAAAAAGAACATCAAATTGTTCCTTGAAGGACCAAACTGATGGCATTAATTATCATTGAAGGACTGAATTGATGTTGTTAATAAATGGAAGACCAATGTAATGATGTTGCATATATATAGACCAAAATGGGTGTTTGTTCTTTAAAAAATATCTCCAGCTTACATTATGCATATATTATCTCCAACACTTATTCCTCTGTATATATGATATTAATAGACTAAAATTTTTATTAATCAAATACTTCAAGAAAAAAACAAAAAGCAACCCAAACCAAGGAACCTGCTCCATGAACAACAATGAAACGGCTACATTCCATGACAGAATGATCTCCAAATTCTTCCGGGTTACAAAAAGTTTCAGAATCTCCAGGTCTCTTGCTCCAATCCATCCCAGGAGGCTTCTCAGAAGATGAAATCATTGCTTGCCTCAGCTGTTCTGAAACCTTCTGAAGAATCTCCTCATTTATCATCTCTAATTCATTTTTGCAAGTAATTGCAGCTCCTCCTGAATATCCCATCAAAAGCATTCAACTTTTTTCACAGATTGAAAATCCTCATAGTTAAACTTTTTCACAGAACACAGTCTTCTGGGGGTATTTTCCTCAAGAGAGCCACAAAAACAAAATGACCCAGATGCTTATATACATGACAAAATTCATACTTGGAGGTGCTAGAGGCTAGCAGCATTGTAAAGCAACAAACTTTGAAAAAATAAAAAATAAATAAATGATGCAAATAATCAACAAGAGTTCAAAACCAAAACCACAGAGAAAGAGAAAGAGAGTCATACCCAGTTTTACTATACAATGGATTGGTTCAGTGAAGGGAGAATGGCCTAAGCTAGTTTGTGTTTGGTTCTGATTCTTGTTCTGCTCCATTGACCACCTTGTGGGAGAAAGAGATGAAGCAACTGAGGTGAACGCTTCTGGATTCTCATGAGGGATAGTTATTTGACTTATTTCATTTCATTTGTGTTTATTAAATAAATTCTTACAATTTTATTCACTTATAAAATAACTATGATAATTAAAAAATAAATAAACTTGAGAGATAAAAAAGAATTGTTTAGGATTCTTTTAATAAATTTAAAATGATAATAATAAGATCATTCTATTTGTTAAAAAGATTATTTTTAATAATCGCCTTTTGAAGATAAATAAGTAATTATGTTATAACTTTAAATAATTAAAAACTCGATTCCAACGCTTCCCCTGGGAGAAAAAGGGCTCGAGAAAATGTGTATGAAAACTAGAAAGGGACAAGGTATTTGTCACTCGTTCGTTGGATTATATTTTCACGAGGATGATGATAAGTATAATTTATTTTTTATTTATAATCTCTTATAAGTATATTTTAACCGTTAATTTTTATTAATTAATGATTATTATTATTTTAAATTAGATTTATTAATTAATTATTAATTTATAATAAATAATAATTATTAATTGACAAAAATTAACGATTAAACGAAAATACGTTATAAATATAACTTTTCTTTATTTTTGCTTTTTTAAAGTTTTTTAAATCCAAACAAGATATCTAATATAGCATTAAGGCATGTACTTAGTAATGTGTTATGTATGTATGCATTGATATAGTAGATATTATCCTTATGCAAATCAAGTTAATATCGGTTGATATATTTCATTTGACTTTTAGCCGTATACATATTTAGGGGCTATTTGACCATTTTGCCTTTCATTAATTAATTAATAACTATTTTATTCCTGATTCGAAACTATCTATCAATCTGCCCCTCTTTAATCGACTACTTTGCATGTTTAATCGACTAAATGGTTGTTGGGAGATTGAATCGACTAAATCTCCCTATTTAATCGATTGAAATCATACCGACTTAACCTTTTTTTTTTGTCAAATATGAAGATTTAGTCGACTAAATAGGGAGATTTAGTCGACTAAATCTCCCAACATCCATTTTTTGTCTGTTTTGGCCATTTAGTCGATTAAAAATGCAAGGTAGTCGATTTAAGAGGGGCAGATTGATAAATAATTTCGAATCAGGAGCAAAATGATTATTAATTAATTAATAAGGGACAAAAAGGTGAAAAAGCTCGTATCGAAGGATGTGCGTAGATTACTTCAATTTGATTTTTATGCCAAACCGAACCATATATGCATCTCATAATGTTACAATCGATATTCTATTTCTAGCGCATCTACTATCAATTCTCTAATCTAACATTCTCGCTTGAGTTGGGCTTAAGAGAATTGTATGTCAGATATTCAATGGCTCTCAAAACAAAAATAAAGGGCTATATGGAAATGGGCTTTAATGGCCCAAATTTAAATTATGAAAGTGCTGAACAAATAAAATGGTAAGGTTATCTCTTGGGTTTTCTTACAAGTATGGCGAAACAAAAAAAAGATATTAGAGTAAAAGGAAAAATAATAATAATGATTTTATAGAAGAAGTCTGACCTCTTGCATACCGTGTCAAACTAATAATTTCAATCATTATATTTTATGCAAAGCTCTAATTAAATAGACAATTACACATGAAAACCAAATAGCGTAAAAATAGGACTCACTTAAAACTTCCTCTACCCACTTTGGTAGGCTTTAGAAACTGCCAAGACTTATTCAAACAAATTCAAATACTAGTATAGTAACTAATTAACAACAATAACAAATAATAAAAACTAAAAGATCGTAACATATAACTGAAAAAGAGAGCACCTACTTATACTTTTAAGGGGCATTTGGTAGATGATAATATTTTTTTATTTTTTTTGAGAATTATGATTTCCAGTAATAGAGTGAGAAAGTAAATTTATCGGGAATGTTACTAAAAAAATTATTTGGTAGACTAAAATATTACCGGAATTGTCTAATCAAGTTTACTGAGTATATGTTTCATTGATGGTCAAATATCACCGAAAATATTGGATAATTTTTTCAAAAATAACCCGACCTTCACTCTTTTCTTCAAACACCATTTCTGTTCGTTGGGTTTTCTTCAAACAAGCTACTGTTTTCAAAATTAAAAATCAAACCAGTTGCAAAAAGAAAATTGGTCCCATTCCAAATTAATGATCAGATCAGACATGAATATAATCACTGTCGGTTGCGCATAACCATAAATCATCCATCGTTTTCTTTTCGTAATAAATGATAAAACATTTGCTTTCTTTAGTTGTTTCTTCTTGTTGATGCTCTTCTTCTTCTTCGTTGAGAAATGTCACTAACTATGTTAATACTAAGCATTCTCTTCATACTCTCTTCAATATTCACCTCACTACTCCTCCTATACTTCTCAACCTCCATCTTCTTCTTCATCATCCTCCGTCTTCGGATGATGATCTGCGCATGCCACTTACTACGCTGTGGCGGATCCCAGTGACTCGGTGGGCGGTGCATGCGGCTACGGCGACTTGTTGAAGGCAGATTACGGTATGGTGATGATCACCGGCGGACTCAGGATATTTTCTTTATCTCTGTACAATTTTTTTATTTTTTATTTTAAAGATCATAATTATGATTCAATTTTTGATTCCATTTACAAATAAAATTTTGGTGAATTAACCAAAGTTTTAAGGAAATAATAGATAATAATAATTAAAAAAAAATAAACACCAAAAGAAGACATTTATAAAATATAGTATAATTATAAGAGTTAATCAATCAAAAACCAACTTTTGTAGATGTCTATTTAATTCAAAGTTGGCTACTTTTGTTTCACAAAAAAAACGTAAAAAATCTCGTGAGGTTCTCCTCCACTTGATGAAAATAGAATTTAAGGAATGTTGATATTTATTAAAATCTGGAGCTAATAAGATTATAAAAAAGAAGAAGAAGAGAGTGACAAAACAATGAGCTAGGATTTAAACTTTAAGCTTTTAATTATAGGATTGGTTGGGTTAAACATATTTTTATCTTTTTTCTTTAATCTTTCTATTTTTTATATTTTTTTTACTTGACTTGAAACACCCATCTAATATGAAATTTTTTTTTTTTCCAACTTTATATCTACAAGTGCAGACACTTGCAGTAAGGTGCGTCCGCCGTTGGTGACGATGGGGCTGAGTGAGGCGCTATTCGAGTAGCACCATATCTGTTTTCACAAAGCAAAGCAAAGTTAAGGCTACTTTTGCCAGAAAAATTGGTGAATATTTTCCCAACGTGTGGGATTTCCATAATATTATCCGTCGCATAATATTCTTCGATGATATTTTCAATCACAATTTATATACAAAACGGAATCCCGAAAAAATCACTTTTATGGGTAAATTTTTTGAAATGTGCTTCTAAACATGATTTTCTTGGAAACCCACCTCACTTTTCTAAGTATCTTAAAATAAACCCTCTACCAAACATCCTTAGGCGGCGTTTGGTTCAGGAATTTTTTTTGGAATAGTAGAGAAATGAGATAGATAGAGAAATGAGAGTGTCCAAGGCCTTATAAAACCACTTTAAATTGGTTTACCTCAAGGTTCTTAACATGGTATCAGAGCCTCACCGTCCCCCACTTTAAAGTGGAATTAAAAGTAAAAAGCACAAAAAGGTAAACCAAAAATGGGCCTGTGCAATTTCCACGCTTCTAGCCTAAAGGGCTCTTGCGTGAGGGGGCGTGTTGAGATATATAGTTCCACATTGATTAGATGGAAAACTAATATGGCCTTTATAAGGCCTTGGACACTCTCGCCCCTTGAGCTAGCTTTTGGGGTGGTGTATCCTAAGGTTCTTTACAAAGATAGATAAAATGAGATAGGTAGAAAAATGTAAAAAAAAGTTGTTTGGTGGAAAAAAACTTTACTGGGAAAATTAGGAAACAGTGCATTAAAAGCCAGATAATCGGTTTTCTGAAAAATCCCACTTTCAAATTGGATTTCTAAACAGTGCGGATATCTATGTTTCTCATAAATCCAGACAAATTGGATAGATTAGTTTTTGGTGAAAAACGTTGAAACAAACATGGTGTTTCTAAAAGCCATACTTGAGAAAGATAGATATCCGCTGAAAAGCTTCCAACCAAACACCACCTTAGGGTTAAACACTTATTCTCGTGTTGCATGAGAAATATTTTTTCATGTTGCAATTCAACTAGTGGTGAATCTTACACTTATTAAAAAAAAGATATACACGCAAATTAAAAAATTAGAACATGAGAAAACACGTCTCGTGAAACACGAAAAATGTTTTTTCTACTTTTAAACACGTAAACTCTTCGTCCAACCTATACATTTTTCATATATATTTTTTTCAAAAAATGCATTGGTTGTGATAAAAAGTTTTTCATAACATCGCAAATTCTTTTTATCATAATAATTCATTTTTGCTCTGTTGTGAGCTATGTACGGTAATATCTCCATAACAAACGTTACTAAGAAAAAAAAAGTTTTTTTCCTATTATTAGATTTTTCATCATGACCATATATTTTCCTCCCTTTCTCTGTCTCACTTTTTCCCCACTGTCTAGGACTCACTTCAATTTTTCTGGGTAAGAAATCTAAGAATCTCCGCGTGTAAAGCAGTGTTGATTGGGCAATGATGTGTGGCAAGCGCTCAACCAGGAACAATATTGTCTTAAATGTGCCCTTTTTGTTAGGAGAAGATCACATTTGATTTTATCCTTTAGCAACTAAGTCCTAGTTTTTAGCAAGAATAGTTTGTTATTATTCCATGTATAGTTTGTTGAACAGTATACTTTATTCTAGTTGATCCTCCTTGATTCTGTATAACCGACTTGTGTATATATTGGCTATCAGCCATTTCATTAAATATAACAACATATTCAAATCCTCTTAGTTTTCTATATGGTATCAGTTTGAAGGTATCGATCCACTTTCCCAATGGCTGATTCTGATTCAGATTCTTCCGCTGTCAATATCAATGCTAATGACAAGCGTCCCAACCCATTCAATTTTTCTGCATCACAAACAGCAGCTGCAACACTTGTAGTGTCCAACCAAAACTCGATTCCCAACCTGAGTCCT